GTTCCAGAAATTAAAATGTTTTCATGTCATGGGGAGCACAGGGAGTCCTTGGCTATTCTAGACCTTTTAAGGGATCACATCTTTTTGATGTAGAAGCATAGTCAGGACAGGAGTTGTTGTCCTTATGATCAAGATCAAGGGGTGGAAGTGTCTTGCTAAAGGGGCCTAGTGATCAACAGAGCCAATACTTGAGTCTGAATTCTGTGACCCCTGTTCCAGCATGTTTTCTTCACACTCAAACAAGTTGAGTTTGAGTTCTCTCCCCTGGGAATATGGTCCTCAAATAAGAGAAAAGAAAAACTGGCCTATGAAGCTATCTGCAGTCACTGCAGCATGAGTTTGATCCCCGGCCAGGGAGCTGCCCACATGGCGCAGCAGACCTCTCCTGACTCGCCCGCTGCTCCCTCAGCAGTGTATTTCAGTCAGTCTGCCTGTTCTGCTCCCTACGCTGTCTCTGGTAAATCCTCTCACCCCACAACACTTCTGGCCTGTACCCCAGTTCTGTGCATAAATAAGTAAATCTTAAAAAAAAAGAAAAACAGGGAGCATTCCTAGCTGAATTCCTATTGTCCCCTCTGCAAAGAGCCCAGGGGCAGAGCAGTGGAAGGGGCAGGTGATAGAATTTCCATAGAGGCCACATCACAAAGGCTTCTCCCTCCCTTCTGCTGACTCCCTTCCTCTTGTATTTTTCTCTTTCCCCATTTTCATATTTACAAAGTTCTGTCTGGGTATAACCTAGAAACCACTTGCTGTAACATCCATTTTTTGGATATTCTGTTCTTAAGAAAACTGGAGAAACTTAGCTGGCCAGTCTCTATCCAGACCTAGCCTGTTCTTTCTGTAGTTCAATACAACCCCACTGCACACCCCCTGGTCTTTGCTAGGTTTGTGGATACATAAGTAGGCTGTGCTTCGGGAGAGCTATCTGTCTTTCCCTGCTGTGTTCCTACTTCCACTGGCCAGCTTTTGCTAGCTTTCTTGGTTTTCAAACTGGACAACTGTTTTTTACTATCTTGTGGTCCTCTGGGACCCCTAAGAGCCTTTTCTGTGCTTCTGTTCACCCTGTACACATGAGTCACTGAGCTGAGCTCTTGGGAACAGCTTCCACACCCTGACTTTTGGGCTTCTGACTCACAAAAAGTCAAATGAATGGCTCTGGGGTATGAGAAGCAGACACTGCAGCTGGGGGTGGAGACGCCACAGAAGCTCCCATGTTTCCCTGGAGAAACAACCCAGCTCCCCGTTGGGCTGGCACACTGGGAGAAGCTATGTACATAAGTATGGGCCACCCAGGGGAAGGCAGATCCTGCACACACTGTCTGATTGTTGTAAAGAAAGTCCAAGCAAAGCACGGTAGACAGATCCTTTGGGACAGTCTGTGTTGTCCAAGACCAGGAGAGGGCTTAGCTGGGAATGGGAAGGGGTGCCAGGGTGATGACATCATTTGTTAACTCTCAACCTTGCAACACGGCAGTGGGGACTCATCCTACTCACTAGTGTTGGGAGCAGCCCTAGTTTTCCCAGTGTGCAATGATGAACTTGTTCATAATGCAGCTTTTGTAAGCAGTCCCCTCCCAGGCAAAACCCACTCTGGAAATTCTTCAACTTCATTCCTTTGTGTGCACACAGGGGACACACAGAGCCATGCACAGAGATATCCAGATAGACAGGCCTGCACACACAGGCAGATGAAATGTACCCGCATGTACACGCAGACTGATGAGGCATACAACATGCCAAAGCCAAAGAATGTTAGTGCTCGTGAGGATCTTAAATCTTTAAAGAAATGAAACACCTTTATTTTACAAAGGAGGAAACCACAGCCTGGAGAAGTGAAAGGAGTAGTCTAAGATCACACAGCTTGTTTTTCTTACGTCTTTTCTTCTGTATCCTGAAGCTTCTGACCTTTGATCATCAGCTCAGTAGACTGCTGTGCTGCTGGGGTCTTGCTGCAGTCAGGGAATGTACCTGAGCAAAGAACTGGGGGCACCACGGGGAGCATTTTGTGTGGTGCCCGCTGGGTGACTGTCTTTCCCTAGATGACCACAACAACACCTGCTGTACCCTTGTTCTTACACTCTTCTTCAACATTGATCCCGTTGATTGTGGGGTGTGTGTTCCCTTCCCTTGAAACAGGGTGGGAGTTGGTGATGTGCCAGCCAATGGGGGACAGCAGAAGGGATGCCATGTCATGTTCTAGTCTGGGTCATGAAAGGGACACGACTCCTGTTTCTCTCTCCTTTGGAACACTCATCCTTGAGATCCAGTCACCATGCTGTGAGGCAGCCCAAACTTGCCAAGACACCATGGGGACAGGAGCATGGAGAAGACCTGTGGCCCCCAGCTGCCAGCCGGCATCAGCCACGGAGTAAACAACCTGTAGATCATTTCAACTCCAGACAATGTAGAGGGAAGACAAGCTGCCCTGATGTGCTTATTCAAAATCCTGCCCCACAATATCTATGAACCTTGTAAATGGTTGTTTTACTTCACTTCGTTTTGGAGTAATTTGTAATGTAGCCATAGTAACTCTTAGGAATTCCTAAGACCATCTCTTAGGAATTACAGCCTTGTGCTGCCTGTCATCCAATGCTGAAAATAGTTGCTTTACATATTTTGTCTTGTTTTATTATTGTAGAAGAGCTAGTCATTGAGCCAGGATTTTAATCTCTAAAATAACAGTAAAATAAGAATAACTACAACATTGAGAACAACGTCTTTCTACTGACTGCTTTCTATGTACTAGGTGCCGTGTTGAGGATTTTACATACATTATCTCAATGAAACCACATAATGAAATTATGAAATAGATATGATTAACCCTCATTGTACAGAGAAGATGACTAAGGTACATAGAAGTAAAATAATTCACTCATGGTTTGTACACAGGTCTGTCTGACACTAAAGCTCATACAATTTACCAGATACAGAAACACATTTAGACACACTGAAACACACACACGCACACACAGAGAGGCATACAGAGACACACACACATTCAGTACATATTTCCAGAGATTTTTAAATGTTTCTTGTCCTTAGAGTTAAAAATCCCCTTCCCCCAATTATTCTAAGTAAATTGAAAGACACTCAATCTGCTAGATATTATGTGTCCCAAGCACACCCCAAGATGAAATTCTCTCCATCTGGGGCCACCACAGGCATGGGAGGCAGAGATAAAGTCTCTGTTCTCCTGCCAAGGATTGCCTGGGACTTGAACTCTGGGGGGAGGCGGGGTAGGACTCTTAACAAGATTTGGCTTGGTAGACAGAAGCCTTCTCCTGGAGCCATGAGGGTTCTGCACTTGATGTTGTAAAATATGAAATTCAGAGGAACAAGGCGATTCCCAAATGTCCAAAAGCGGAGAGCACAGAACAAGAGACCAGGGCTTGGAAGGGGAAGGGGTGAAGGGGTTTGAGAGCAGGGTCATTCCAGGATATTCCAGAGCAGTGATAGGAGCTGGCTGATGGAAGGAAGAGGGATTCAGAGCGTGATCTCGTCATCCTGCGGGTTTCCCAAGGGCAGCATGCCTTTCCTAGGCAGGAGAGGGGAGACTGAATTCTCACCTGGCAGTTTCAGAGTAAGAATGGGAGCAAGAGTCTCCAAGCTGAGCTTAGTAATTTATAACTTACTCCTATCTCTTGTCCTTATAAGAACACAGAGATGCTGCTGGTGGGAGTGCAAACTGGTCCAACCACTATGGAAAGCTGTCTGGAGATTCCGCAACCTACTGAAGATAGAGCTTCCATATGATCCAGCAATTCCACTCCTAGGTATTTACCCAAAGGACACAGAAACATTAATTCCTAAGAGCACCTGCACCCCTATGTTTCTAGCAGCACTATTTGCAATAGCTAAGTTTTGGAAACAACCCAAATGCCCAAAAATAGATGACTGGATCAAGAAGATGTGGTACATATACACCATGGAATATTACTCAGCATTCAAAAAAGATAAACACATGCAATTTGCAGCAACATGGATGGAGCTGGAAGGGATCATGCTCAGCGAAATAAGCCAGAAGGAAAAAGAAAAATACTGGATGGTCTCACTCATAGCAGGAATCTAGAAAACCTAAATAAGGGACCAGGAAAAAGAATAACTATAAGAAAGAAAAAATCAAAATCAACAAACAACTATGAACCAGAGACACACTATGGGGGAGTGGGGAAAGGAGATATTGGGGTCAAAATAAGGGGGTTGCAATTGTATGGGGAATATAAAAAAATTAAAAAAAAAATACAAAGATGCTCTGGGGGGGGCAGGGGAGAAAGAAATAATACTGATGTATTATTACAATCATCTTTATCTAGAAAATAGACACCCCAAGTGGATCCCCATGCCTTGTGCAACCTACAGCAGTTGAGTCCAAAGGGAGAAAATGAAATGAGAAATTTTACGGTTCATCTCCACCTCCTGCCTCCTTTCTCAAATTCAGTCCTGAAGGTACTGTTGAAACTCCCTAGAAGTAACTCTTAGCATTTCACTATACTATCGATATTACTATTTTACAATGAAGAAACTAGTTCTGAAATTGGACACTAACTCGTCTGAGCTGGTCAGCGGCAGCACCACTCCAGGAAACCAGTGCTGTCTCCTGATGCCGGGCCAGTCAGCCACCCTCTGGAGGGTGCAGCGCATCCAATGAATGAACTGTCAAGTCTTCCCAGCCTGGGCGTTGGGGGCCAATGGTTTCATGCCAAACTGGGGTGCAGGGGTTCCCTCACTTTCAGTTCTTTTGTATCCCATTTTGTCACTCCCTCCCCTCCCACCTCACCTCACCCCCGCCCCCTAAATTAACGCAGATCTGCGTGCCTGTGAGGTCCCACGGGGAAAGAAGGCTGTCGCCAGGCTCTTCGTGCGCAAGGGTGAAGTATGCATAGGACAGGAGTTGGGTAACGAGAGGGTCAGCTCAGACGGGACGTCTGGGGGGCCCAGCTGCAGAGTTCTGCGGGATCTCAAGCACGCGCACCCCTTTCCACCCCGCGCACACCCAGTACCTCCGCCTCCCTGCGCAGCTCCTGGCCCGCGCGTTCCACAAGCTGGGCGTCCTGGCTGCCCCAGAGAAGCAGCAGCAGCAGCAGGCTGCGCCCCAGGAGGCAGACCCGCGCAGACATCTCGCCGCGGTCCCACCGGCGGGGCTGAGCGGCTGGGGAGCCGCGGCGCGCTGGGCACCCCGCCCGCGGTCAGCTACGCCCGGGATCCCGCGGAGGCGCCAGCTCGGTGCCGCCCCCGCGCGGAGGGCCCGGTCTCAGGGGTTCGCTGGTACCCCGGTTCTGCACCCTGCCTCGCTCTTCCGGGGCGCTTCGCCCCGAGCTGGTCGAGCCGAAGTGGTTCCGTCCGGCTAATGCCTGCGCGCCGGTGCGCTGGGCCGGGGAGCTGGAGGGCGAGGGAGGAAGGGAGGGAGGAGCGGCCGGGAATCCGGATCTCCAGCCCCACCCACCCGCCCGCCACTGGAACGCGGAGCGGTCCCGGAGCCTCTTCCGTGGGCTGTGCCACCTCGCCCGCTGCGCCCGCCGCCCTGCCGGCGCTTCTCGTGCGCGCCACGTCCAGCGGACTCGTCTCTTCTGCTGGTTGTGGCTACCTAAGACTTCGATGAAACGGGGTCCTCCCCGACCTGAGGGTCACTGTTGGGCAGGGAGCGAGGTGTTGGAGAAGCCCTGGGTTGGAATCAGAGAGCTGGGTTTGAATTCTAGGTCTGCTTCTTTGCTGCCCCCTGGCATTCTGCCTCAGGCACCTGCTGGCTGTGTGGTCCCGGGCCAGGCGCGCACCCTCTCTGAATGCACTTTCCTCGTCAGGAAATGGGGATAATAGTACCATACCATGTGGCTGTCGGAGCCTAGAATGAGCCTATTATTCCCGCCGTGCCTGGCATCATGCAGGACGCATTTAATACATGATAGGCTGCCCCTCTGACCTTTGGCAAAGGGTTTAATTACCCCTAGCGTCAGTCTGCTCTTCAATAAAACGAGAGCAAATAATACTTAGTTCCCAAAGTTGCATGAAGATTAAAGGCAAAAATGAGTGTAAAATGCCAGGCTTGTGTATCGCACACGTCATAATAACAACCGAGTGAAACGATTTATGGGAAAGCCTTAACGAAACTCGTACTAAGCAAAAGTACACTTTTCATTCTCTGCTTTGATATCTGCGAGCAGGTTGCTGTCTCTTTCAGTTTCAACTCGCTAATCTGTAAAATTCAAACGGCCCACTGACTCCCACCTCTGGGAGTTGTGGGGCTCAGACGAGGAGGAAATGAGTGTAAAAGTAATTTAGATTCTATCAAGTGCTAAGTGAGTGTGATGCAGTGCTCTTATCCCAATGCATAGGGTTGCAGCAGCACACAGAATGCTTTGTTTTTTGGTATTTAGGAAAAGGCTTCACAGCAGTAGGGGAATTTTAAGAAGATACCTTCTCAGAGTAGACTTAAAATCCGAGTCCCAGCCACGGACTAATTGACCCACCCGCCCACATCCCAACCAACCAATGAACATGGGGGCACTCGTCCTGGGCGAACCAAGTAGAAACAAGTGTTCCTCTGGACAGACCTAGGAGGAAAAGATGCCCTTCAATACTCAGAGTGCAGGGTGGATTTGCCCATCTGCACCCCATCTTCCTGAGTGCTCTTCTGAACATATGGAAGGAGAGTCTCTGTCTGAAGTGCAGCCCCAGAGATGATGAACCAAGCCTGGGCCTTCCCCTTAGAGAATTTTCAATCTAGAGGGACAGACTGGGAGGAAATGTTCTCAGCCAAGGACAGAACAGACTGTGACATGGCTATAGGTTCAGGCAAAGTTCTGCTGTGAGCCTGGAGGAGAGAGAGTCCGAAGGGGAGCTGGTTATTTGTGCTAGACCTAGCAAATAAAAATACAGGAAGTCCAGTGAAACTTGGACATCAGATTAACAACGAATATTTTTTATTTATTTATTTATTTAAAATTTAAATTTTATTATTATATTCCCCATACAATTGCAACTCCCTTATTTTGACCCCAATCCCTCCTTTCCCCGCCCCCCATCCCCCATAGAGTGTCTTTGGTTCATAGTTGTTTGTTGATTTTGATTTTTACTTTCTTATAGTTATTCTTTTTCCTGGCCTCTTATTTAAGTTTTCTAGATTCCTGCTATGAGTGAGACCATCCGGTATTTTTCTTTTTCTTTCTGGCTTATTTCGCTGAGCATGATCCCTTCCAGCGCCATCCATGTTGCTGCAAATTGCATGTGTTTATCTTTTTTGAATGCTGAGTAATATTCCATGGTGTGTATGTACCACATCTTCTTGATCCAGTCATCTATTTTTGGGCATTTGGGCTGTTTCCAAAGCTTAGCTATTGTAAACAGTGCTGCTATAAACATAGGGGTGCAGGTGCTCTTTGGAATTGATGTTTCTGTGTCCTTTGGGTAAATACCTAGGAGTGGAATTGCTGGATTATATGGAAGCTCTATGTTTAGTAGGTCAAGAAATCTCCACACAGCTCTCCATAGTGGTTGGACCAGTAACAACGAATTTTTTTTTAATGAGTCAATCAATGCAATATTTAGGACAAACTTATACAAAGGAATTATTCATTATTAATCTGAAAATCAAATTTAACTTGGTGTCCTCTATTTTATCTGGTAACCATAATGTGTGTGTGTGTGGGGGGGGGTTAGGTCAGAAGGTTGGGGGAATGACGTGATATATGGTCCTTTGGACCAATAGGTATATTTTGATAGGTCAAGTACAGCTCTGCATTGGGGCAGGGAGCTCTGAACTACAACAGCTGATAAGGACCCTGTTGGCCAAGTTGGAGTCAAACCTAGGTTTGCCAGTACTTTCTCCAGGCAGAATCTCTGGACCCCTTCCTCTCACACATTGCCCAGGGCTTCTCCATATCAGCTGCATGAGGAGGAGAGGCGAAGGTGGGAAGCAGTGGTTCTCTGGAGAGGGCTGAGTGTCTGGAATGGGACAGGCTTGGCCACCCAGAGAACTCACCTGCATCAGGTTAGCCTTTATCCCTGCTGTATTTGAAATTTGACTTGTTCTTTCCCTTTGTGTCCTTGATGGAATAATTTCATTCCATCCTGGTCTTCTTCTACTCCACCTCCGCTTGTGGTCATAGATGCCATCCAGACTTGGAAGTGCCTGCAATAATTTAGGCAGAACAGCGCTTCCTTTACCCACGCACCCATTCCAGGCTTCAGCTAGGCCTATGAACAGGATATCTCTATTTCCCAGAGAGATAGCACATTTCCATGGTTAAACCTTGGTAGGGGAGAATTCAGTTCCCTTCTGCCTCTGAAGCTTACTCATAAGTCCTATAACATCAAATTCTGTAATCTTCTTCAGAATTCAGGGACCTATGCAGTTCCACTGCTGACTTGCTTTTGTTTTTACTCCAGGGACACATTCTGAATCAATCACTTTGGATGGGGTGGAGAAGGAGGGCAGCCTGCCATGTGAGAGGGGGCCTGAGGAGGGAAGGGAGATGAAAAAGGCAGGGCAGTTTATTGGAAAGAAGCTCAGTTGCCAACAAGGAGATCAGAAGAGTGACAGAAGGAGAATGGCTTCAGAGCAGGGATTATCAAAGCATGGCCCAAAGATCTCCCACATGCAAAATAATTCTATGCTGACAAGTGTCTATATTAATTCAATACCATTACTTCTTCCTCTGAGGGGAGTGGAGGTGGGGGTAGAAATAAGGAGTTGGAAAAAGTCTTAAAGGGTAGTGCTCGTTGAGAAATTAATTATGTGCCATGTGTTTTAGATAAATTATGTTACTCAGTCTTTATGGTTTCCTTATGAAAAAGCTTCTATGATGAGCATCCTTATTTGAAAGGTGAGGAAACTGAGGCACAGAGAGATTATGTCATTTGTCCAACATCACAAATCTAGGAGCCAGGACACAAACCTAATATAAGTACAGATCTTGCCTCTAGTAAAACTGATAAAATTTAATTCTTGGATCATTTGCTTTGAATAACCTGGAAGCACTTGTTAAAAAATCAGATTTTTGAGATCTAAGCTAGACCTACTGAATCATTAAATACTATATACCAATGTTCAAGAGCAAAACAGGCCTGGGGTATTCAAGGGTCTGCTGCTCTCCTTCCCTGTCTTGACTGAGCAGGTTTCTGAGCAGCTGGACTGACAGTTCTTTCCATACCACCTTTTCAAAGAGGACTGTTACACTCCCACCCTGACCCTGCATTGAGGCTTGATTCAGATCCACAGTGCCTCGTGGCCTCCCAGGGTGGACAGGACTTTGGTGGAACTTATGCCAGGGACCTGTTCATGTTGTCTGCTCAGGGGAGTGGCTGACAGCTACCTGGGCCAGTCCGTCTGTCAGAAGGCAACAGCTGGCTAAGGAGTCCCTTCCTGACAAGGACCCCTTCAATCAGGCCGGATGTGTGGATCTGGACCTCTGGGCCTCAGTTTCTCTCTTCATAATATGAGGAACAATCAGCTTTGTCTCTGCCCCTTCCTTCTCCCCAGGAAATGTGCAGAACAAAAAGTAGATTTTATCAGAAGGAATTCTGGGCTCCAGAGAAAGCCACTAACAAAACCATCAACCTCCAAAAACCACAATAATAAGACTAGTGAGGACATGAAATCAGCTTGGGGGATTTGAAAGGGAGACTTTTCCCAGCGTTGTGAAGACTTGAGCTGTGATCATTTGGATACATTATTGATCATAACCTCTGTGCAGTTTTTGCTGTGATTCAATTCTAGAATTCTTGATTTTCTAGCAACCACCTCTTTGCTAGAAGAGAAATTTCCTCTCTTTAGCACATGTGAACGTGGACTCAGTTTGGGGCACTTCACCAGTATACCTACCTATCAACCTCCCAGCATGTACACACACATGTGCAAGAGCATGTAGAGCTGGAAAAGAAAGAAATTGAGTGAGGCAGACTTATGCTGAATCTTGATTTTTACAGTTTTTGACCTTTTGCCAGTCAACTAACTCCTGAGTTTCTACCACTTTAAAATGGGAGAACAATAATTTCTGCTTTTTCTACTACCCCGATTTGCTATGGAGAACAAGCTAGGCAATTAGTAAGTGTTAAATCCTTTCAAGTGCGGGACCATGGGTACACAGATACACGTGTATGTACACACAGGTATTCTTTGCACAGGTTTCCACCCACTCAAGCACATTCACATCAGATAACATACACTTGCCAGCAGGACAGGACAATGGCCACACGATACTCTCTGGCTCAGAGCAGCCCTATCTTTCCTAACGCTTATCACAGTTTTCTGGGCCGCAGCCTCTTCTGGTTTGTTTTTTACTCACACCAGGACCCAAGGGACTTGCAAGGAGAACGATAAAAGCCTGGCTAGTTTGGCACTGTGCCCTACTTCCCTTCCACATAAAGGCTGTCTAATCACCAGGCATCTGACTTGAAAAGCCGGGCCAGGACCTGCTCAGCATCTGCTGCTTTGCTCAGACCTGCTAACAGGAAAGTGTCTGGTTCCTTTCCACCCCAAACAGGAAGTGTCTGCCACTGTCCAGAGGGAGCACTTGGTAGCCCGGTCATTTATAAGAAGCCTCCCCTTGATGCAGTGGACCCTCCATGTAATTTTTGTGGGAGGCTCATTTCCTTGCAAAACTGGAGGACCAGCGCCCCAGGGACCCCTCTGTGGAGGCTGGAGGCTGGGAGGGTGGTATTGGTGGCTACTACTGCCTGTGGCACCTGGCAGAGAGCAGGCTGTCATTCTTTCAACAAACAGCCATCAGGCACTTACTCTGTGCCCCATGGGAGACATAGGAAAGTCCTAGACAAGGTCTTTGCATTTGAAAGTTTACAGACAAGTCAGAGAGACAAAGCATGCATGCTGTTTTCCCCCACTTGTTTATTCATTCATTAAGTACAAGATTCCCCGCCTCCCTTTATAAAAAAAAAAAAGTGTTTCAGTCACTGTGAGGGGCACTGGGGGTTCAGTGATGAACTAGGTGACCCAGCTAGAGAACAAATTGGCCTCTAATAAGGGAGGTAAGTCTTGAATCATGTAGTACCGTCTTGAACTCCACAGTTATTTCAAGAGGCAAAAGATCTCTTATGACCTGGTTTTTACTCTGGTGGGAGCAACAACCTCTGTCACCCCCTATAGTTTGCTCTGGAGACAGCAGCCACAGTGCTCCTGATGAAACAGGTCAGCGCATGCTGGACCTCTGCTCAAATGGCTCCCTCTAACGGCTTCTCCTCTCACTCTAAGTAAATCCACAGTCCTCACACGTCTTGCAAGGTGGAGAGGTGGCAGGGCTGGGAAGCCAAACAGGATGGAGGCTACTGAGAAATTACCAACAGCAAGAAGACTACTCTCTGTAGGCTGTTGCACTGCTGGAGGGACTGGGGTTCCTGAAACCAGCGCCACTGGAGGAAATAGTCTAGAGAAGATAGCTGCTGTCTGAGGCAGAGAGGGAAGGACAGGAAAAACCCTTGCTCCTCCTTTTCTTCTGTGGTCCAATTTCCCCATAGGTTTCTGACTAGCACAGCTGGAAGCGACCACCTGAGGGAATCTGAAAGTGAAGGGTAGCCTGCAGGGGTCAGATACCCAAGCGAAGACTTGAGGAATGGATTGGGGCAAACAGGTCCAATATCAACACCTTCCCTGATACATTCAGCTAAAGCTGATGTGTAAAACTTACCTGCTGTCATCACTAAATATGTACACTGAAGCCAGAATAGTGAACATTCAGGGGTCAGGATTTTGTAGCAGGAAGGATGGGTGAAGGTTAAAGTTTATTGTAGATAGTTAACTCTAGGCAAAAGGCTGGAAGGCAGGAGGTCAGGAGTCCATCTGACCCTTCTTTCTTTGGAAAGAAGTCCCTGAGCAGGGCAGACCTGGGAGTTCTCTGTTTCAAGTTTGGGAGACCAACAACACTGTATAAACAACACTAGGCTTGGTTCGAAGACCTGGTGTGTGAACATGGTACAGAATTCCAACTACCTGAGCTTCAGTGTTCTCATCTATAAAATGTGAACAGCAGCCTATTAGATTATTCACTTTTTGTATCTCCACCTTTAAAACAAAATTCCACTTCTAAAAAATGTTAAGAAAGGACCACTTGATGGGCCTCCCTAGTGGCCTAGGAGGTAAGTTGCAGTGCTACAACCGCAATGGCCCTCCCATGGCAAAATGGTCCGAGTTCAATCCCAGCCAGGGAGCTAACCCACAGGGCACAGCAGACCTCTCCAATTTCACCCACTGCTCCTCTTAGCGATGTATTTCAGCAGATCTGCCTGTTCTGCTCCCCACTCTGTCTCTGATGAATCCTCTCACACCCTGCACCTCTGGCCTGCACTCCAGTTCTTCTACATAAAAATAAATAAAATAAAAACCTTACAATAAAGGAATAATTTTTATTAAAAAAAAAAGGACCATTTAGAAGTGGTCCCTACCCCTAATAATCCAGTTCCCCCATTATTACCATCTTCTCTGGGTTGTCTTGCTCAATAGACATGCTCCACAGCTAAAACATCTTCAGTCATGAAAACTTTTATTTCAAGATTTATTTTTATTTACTTATGCATACAAGAACTGGGGTATAGGCCAGAGGTACGGAAGGTGAGAGTATTCACCAGAGACAGAGTGGGGAGCAGAACAGGTAGATCTACTGAAATACACTGCTGAGGGGAGCAGCAGGTGAGATGGGAGAGGTTCGCTGTACCATGTGGGTAGCTCCCTGGCCAGGGATCAACTTGTGCTTCAGTGACTGGCGATAGTTTGATATCCCAGAGACTTTAAACCCTGCACCACCAAGGAGGCCCAAACTTTTCTTTCTTTAGCTTTGTTTGCTTGGACCTGTCTAGAGGGTTCTGTGACCCTCTTTATTCAGAGTTGAGGGCAATTACTGCTGGTATAATGAAAAATGGTATCTTCATGTCTTTTTCTCATGTGAAGACATTCTAAACTTATTGCTCTACTTCCACCTCGACCTGCTCCTCCTCCTGTTCTCTAGCACATTGAATGACACCTCTATCTGTCCACTTGCCTATATGGAAAACTCCAGAATTCACCCTATACCACTCCCTCTCTGCTAGCCCTTCCACCCAAATTGGTCACCAGACCTCACCCAGTATACCACCTACCTAAATAGCTCAGGGATCTCTTCTCTTACCTCCAGCTCCACAGCTACAATCTAAGTTTAGGCCACTATGATCTCCACCAGAATTATTGCATTGACCACCTAATTGGTCTCCCTGCTTGTAGACAGCTCTTATCTCTACACATTCTTCATACTGCAGTCTGAACTTATACCTCACCTTTAAAATCCTCTGGCAAGCACTTCCCACTGTCTTCAAGATAAAACACAAAATCTAAAGTACTTTGCAAGGTCTCAGTTATTTAGTTCTCCACTTTTCTGGTCCCATCTCCTATTATCCTTCCTCTTATACCCCCCAACATATTGAATTACTTTTTATTTTTATTTATTTTTTTTAAAGATTTATTTTTTATTTATACAAGAGCTGGGGTACAGGCCAGAGGCGTGGGAGGGTGAAAGAATTCACCAGAGACAGAGTGGGGAACAGAACAGGCAGACTGACTGAAACACACTGCTGAAGGGAGCAGCAGGCAAGACAGGAGAGGTCTGCCTTGTCATGTGGGAATCTCCCTGGCCGGCTAGGAATCAAACTGGCACCGCAGAGGCTGTGGACAGCTTCACAGCGCTTCGCTCAACCTGCTGCGCCACCGGGGAGGCCCTTGAACTACTTTTTAACTAGCCTTTAACACACTTCCCCCCACTTTTTCACTTGGTCAGCTTCTGCTCACCCCCTATGTGGTTTGCTTCAGATGTCATAGTGTCCTCAGGGAACATGTCCTTGTGTGTTCTCTGATCTTTCACTAGGCAGTTCAGCATAATGGCTAAACCCTTGGGCCGTGGTGTCTGGTTACCAGGATCCAATTCCATGTTGGCCATATTCTAGCTGTGTGACCTAAGGTAAGTGAATTCTGCCTTCTTGCCTGTAATGTGGGGATAATATTTCATCAGTGTGCTGTGAGAATTAAATGAAATGATGTGGGCCTCCCCGATAGCGCAGCGGGTTGAGCGCCTGCTGTGGGGCTGTCCGCAGCCTCTTCAGCGCAGGTTCGATTCCCGGCCGGCCAGGGAAGATACCCAGATGGCGCGGCAGACCTCTCCTGACTCACCCACTGCTCTCCTCAGCAGTGTCTTCTGTCCGTCTGCCTGTTCTGCTCCCCACTCTGTCTCTGGTGGATCCTCTCACTCTCCCGCGCCTCTGACCTGTACCCCAGTTCTTGTATAAATAAAAATAAATCTTAAAAAAATAAAATGACAATTTAAGTTAACATTAATATAGCACTGAAAGCGAAAGCTCGACACTCCTCTCAGTGTTCCCCCCTCCAAATCCACATGCGTGTGATTTCGTTTTAATGCACACGTTTGTTCCAGTATCATCTCGTCGTGCGTTTTTTATTTGACAAGGCAGTTACTGCAAACCGAAGGCGATCAGGTGTCAGAGCTTTCCGTCCCCAAGCACGTCGACTCCGAACGCCCCCGGGTGGCTCCGGCTTTCTTCAGCAAAAGCGGAGCGACCCAGGGCATACCATTCGAAATATTAGGGGACGCAAGGTCTCTGCCAACAAATAGTCTGTGTTTGCCAGCTCTCCTCTCTTGTGCTCCCCGATTTCAAATTCTGCCGGCCCCCGTACAGGGAGAAATACGACAGTCACTAGGACGCAGCGAGTAGTTCAGCTTCCTCCCCCACTCAAATGGCCGCCTTGGTACTTTCTCCTCTCAATTCCCTCTCAATAATGGTACCGTCCACAGAGGGGTGAACAGAGAGGGAACCTCAAGTCCTCAGGGGGCGGAGGCCGGTACTAGTACAGAACCACCCCTCCTCCCGTGGTGCGGTGGTCCCGCCCGCCGTGCCCTGATTGGCTGCCGCGGGCCCGCAGTCGGCTCAGCCCGCCGTGCCGCCTTCAGTTCAGCTCCGGCCGCCGCGCCGCCTGGCTCTGGTATTCCTTGTTCTCGGCGGGCTCTGGGGGCCCCGCTCCGCGGCCGTTAGTCATGTCGGGTAGGTGACTCCTTCAGCGAGCAGCGGCAGCAGCGAGAAGGGGCCTGGCGGGGTGGGGCCGTCTTCCCGCCCACCGGAGGGCCCTGAGGGAGCGCCTCCGGCCCTGAGGGAGGCTGGGGGTGGGGGGGCGGCCGCGGCCGCCGCCATGTTGGACTGGAGGGACGCACGCTCCCAACGCTCTCCGTCTGCAAATCTCGGCGGGAGCGCCGCGGGCGCCTGTGTCTCTCGGCCCTGTCCTTGGAACCTGAGGAGACGTGCCGCCCCCGGGGGAGGGTGTGTAAATCGGGGGGCGGAGGCCGTCTACGCCATCCTAGGGGCGGGGGGAGCCCGTGATTAGAGCATCGGCCTGAGAGAATCGGTGCTTCTGGTTCTCCGCTCCGCCTCGGATCTTTCAGCGAGGCCTCGGGCCAGTCATCTCGCCGCCTCGTACCTCAGTTTCCCCATCCGTGAAGTGGAGCTGGGCCTTCCTGACTCACCCATTCATCAGGTGGGGGCCTTCACGCTCCGGGAGCCCTTTCAAAGGACGTTGCCTTACGCGAGATCCGGCATGCTCTCTGCAGTAACCCCCAGGATTGAAGTGGGGGTGTTTCCATTGAATTCAACTTCCTTTTCACCCTTCTCTGCCAATCTTCTCGACCCCTCTGGTTGGTCTCCTTCGCGAGCTGGAAAGGGAGCCTTTGCTGTTATTGTAGGCCCCTCTAGGCACGTGTGGCGTTTACCTTCCAAAATGCAGACCAAAGAAAAGGCAGTCTTCTGTGGAGCACTTCAGTTGATAGAAGTGCCCTGTTGTGTAGAAGAGGAAAAGAGGCTTTGGTCTCTCCAGGCCACCAGTTCAGATCCTGCTAAGCCAGAATATAAAATCTGGAGGGTGAATGTCCTCTTGATTGAGCCGTTTTAGCTAATCATACCCGGTCCTCAGGTGTTGGACTACATCACAAGCTGCAAAGACCCGACTGGCAGTCTTGACAGTTTTTGAAAGGGAGAACCTGTTAGTAGTAAAATGACCTCCCTCCCTGAAGTAATCCACTTTTGTAGAAGGATGCAAAAATGTGACCACATTAGCAGTACTGGTTGCAGAAAATGAAAAACTTAAGTGATTCACATTGAAGTTGAAGTGCCAGAATATCAGTGTTTTGGGAGAGAGGGTATCCCATCTAAGAGGCTAGTAGCTGCTCAGCATTTCTTTCAATTTCTCTTCAACTCTTGCCCAAACAACAAATAATTTCTTACCCCAAAGTAGACATTGGTGGAATATCTTTTGTCAGGTGCATACACTGGGATGAGGTTGGTAAAACTCTAGAAGTACATTGTCAGGAGCTTGTGTAATCCATCGTGGTTTAAAAAAATAAAAGAGTCTCCTACCTTCATGGAGAAAGTTACCAAGTCTCAATGCTTATACTCACTAAGAACACTTTTGGACTCTCTTGATTTTTAACATAATTATTGGTATGAAGTGGTGGCTTATTTTTATAGGGTTGTGTTGCTTTTGTGGAAAGTTAACGTTTAGGGGTGTACTCCTTGTCAATTTTTAGTGTGTCATGTGTGTGAACTGATCTGACCATTAGTACTGATTTACAAATCATCAAATGCCAGCTATTTGTCACTTTGTAATGCAAATATTTTTATATTGAGATTGACTTTCTCATGTGAAAACTGTTAAATATTGCTCGCTTCTGAATTAAGCCATTTAAAGCTAGAATCTTTAAGTTTATTTATAAATATGTGTATAAAATGCTTTTTTGACTTTGTATAAAAACAATAATGCTTTTGACTTGTTCTTTGATGAATGTTTAAACTAATAAATTTAACGGTAAACTGCCCCTAAACAACTAATGACATAATTAGTTCTTTAAACATTTCAGACACACTTATACAATTTAATCTGTTAAATTGACCTAACCACACCAGCTGTCTGACAGGGCAAACTTATAAACCTAATAAAATATAAACACTAATCAAGAAAATCAAAATTACAGATATTGTAAATCAGGCATTCAAATACTGTTTACGAATGTGAATTTTATGAAACCTTTCCAGTTAAAATTACAAGTCTAGTATAAATTATACATATAAATGTCAAAATAATTCTCACTGTGGCAACATGGCAAGGCATGATAGCTTTAAAATCCTCTATCTACAAACGCCTAAAAATGCAAGAAATTACTAAAAAGAAAGGGCAAATCCTAACTGCCAAAATGAAGTAAGAGCCAGTGTGGTAGGTGTGAATTAACTTTGGTGGCTTCCTGGAGAGGAGGGTGTAGGTCTCATCATTTACAGACTTGGCTTTTATTGCCCAGGTAACTGTGAAAGGACAAGAGGTAATGCCTGTTACCTTAGTGGTAGCTGAGACCTTTACATACATGTTTAAAGACTGTATTCAGTGAAGGAATGAACTAGGAAAAGTCTTACACCAGCATAGAGATAACAAGGAAACCTGGACCCTGAGTGGAAACAAGTCTGAGAATTTGTACCGTGGACCTGTGGTTAGTAAAATTTGGGTGTATATTTAACTAGTTATGGGGTCCAGGAAACCTACTTTAAGACAAGAAATTAACATAAGGATTGGTTTTGAACGGTAATTTTGGGGTTCCTAGTAGATTTCTGGAGGCAGTTTAACAGCTTAGGTCACAAGGAATATGCCTTGCAAAAGTTGAAAATAGAGTGAAAAGTTGAAATGACTCCAGGAAACAACAAAAATAAGTGGCAAACCAAATTAGAATTCCTAAAAGATAATCTGAAAGACAATAAGGTATTTTAAGTTATAAAGGATTTAAGGGATCACTTCTAAAATCGAGATATTATGAAGAGAGACCGCATACATTTGAAAAAGAACAAAGTCTAATTTACTTAAGTGGAAAAGATCAATAAATTGAAATGCAGATAAGACTAGCAAGTCTTTAGTGAAGTGGAAGATAAATGTGATATAATTATCCATATTTCAGAAGGATAAAAGATGAAAAATGAAAGATTAAGAAACACAGAAGATAGTTGAGAATTCCTGTCACATCTAGTATGAGTTCAGGAAGCAGAAATTGGGGAAAAACTAATAGTTGAGAATTTTTCAAAATTGAGGATGTTTTAAGTCAAGCAGTAGTCTCAAGCCAAAATTAAATTCAAATTAAATTGATATGAAACTGCAGATAAAGAATAGTAACAAATCTGGAGGGAATAGGGAAGTGGTAATATTCATAGACTTCTTAGAGGTTTTAAGAATCTGGAAAATGAGGTGATCCTTGAAAATTTGAGGGAAATCAACCATCAACTTTGAATTTTTTATACAAATAAAAATAAATACTATACCATTTTCAGGCCTTTGCAAAAGAATGAATAAATTCAGAAGGGGAAAATGAGAATGCAAAAACAACATAGAGGAAACAAATGTCAATAATCAAATCAACTGGAATATTAAAGATTAGAGTGGTTATATTTAGAGATTTTCAAAAAGTGGAAGCAGAAGGTGCAGGGAAAAAAATGGAAGCAAAATGACAGGTGAAAGCTGTGATTGGCATTAGAGTATTAAGATTCTTAAATTCTAAAGGAGGTTGAAGATAATTTTGAACTTTGTCAAGAGTTTATGTTAAAAATTGAATATAATCATTAAATTGTGAATGGTAACTGAAAAAGCAGAAATTAAAAGTGTAACTTCTAAAGCAATAGAGAGGAAAAATAAGGAATAAAAATGATACAATTTGTGGGAAAGAAAGATGGTAAATGGAAATTCCAATTTAGGTTGGTAGGAATAAATAAAAAGTAACAATAATTAAAGTACTAAAACACCAGTTGGAAGACAAATATTTCACTTTTGGGAAAAATGATCTATGTATAATGATGTTCAGAAATGATATACTCAAAAAATAATGTTGAAAGTATCAAGATGAAAAAAGGCTAACCAGGCAAAAACCCAAAGGATGATAAGTTGTTAGCAGTGAAACAGTGTGGATATTTTAGTGATAGTCTAAATGTAATGTTAAAAGGAAATTCACCTGGAAGATAGAAATCTGTACTTTATGTGCCTAACAGTATGGCTTCAAAATATAGAAGTGAAACAAAACAGATACAAGATGTTGGCGAATCTAAGGTTAAGAATTTAAAAAACACACCTCCAATTGATAGATCAGGCAGACCAAGGATTAGTAAGAATAGGAATGATAAAACTAACAGGCATCATACACTGAGAATTCTTTCAGCTATGAAAAAAGTTTTTTCAAGTGCATAGGGGATATTTACACAAATAAAAGTACTTAACAAGGTGGGAAAGTAAAAAAACCCCAGCAAATCCTAACAAATACCAGGAATAATATAGAAAGTACCTTCTCTAACTGCGGTGGAATGTAATTAGAAGGCAAAAACAAGAGAACCTTATACTCTATTTGGAAGCACTTCTAAGTAATTCATGGGTCCAAGAGAGAAGTCTCAAGTGTCAACTAGAATGAGCAGTTTGAAATTTCATAAATAATATTTATAAACTGATTTTTTTCTGATGACTATGAAACAGCCGTAACTTCATCACTCAAGTATCTGAAGGCCAGGCTTAATTGGCCAGTATCTCATTTCTTTATCTTTAGGACTTTTAAAATCAGTTAAGTAAGTCAGATTTTAGAACTGAAAACTGGCTTATAATTAAGGACTAAAACTTAATAGATTTCAGACAGACTCACATGATTTAGGTCTTGTATACTTAGAATTTTGCCTGAGCCAAAGAGGAATATGCTGAGATCTTGGATTCCATGATGTTACTGGGAGAGCCGGCGTCGGACGGTCTTGGGATGTAGCTTAACGGAAGACTTCAGGCATCCCCAGGATATCTTAAGTGTTAGTCATGTATTTCCTTCCCTCTTACCAGTTTCTGATAAATGCGTCCAGTTTCTGTATCCTTTGCCTATTTTTATTATTTGGTTGTTAGCTATAAATCTATAGTCATTGTCAAGATTATGGCAGTGATGTTTAATTTTTTTCATATTAGGTAATTTATTTCATTCATACTTGGAAGTAGTTTGTGTCAGCATTTCATTCAGTATTCTTATAATTAAAAATTATATTTAGTCTGATTGGGAATCTTCTATACTGCAGACGCGTGGCAAATTTGATGTCATTAAAACAATCAGTGATAGTGTTTTTGTATTGCAGATTTATATTGATAAGATTTTTAGTGGGATTTCAGAGCTGTTTGACAAGTTTCATTTCAGATTGGATGAGGTTGAGCCTGATGGTTAGCAGTTTGAAACTCAGTCTTTTTTTTGCAGTTGAGAGAGTATTTGAGTACTTTTTTCTTATCACTAATGAACTTAGGTTATTCTTTTGACTGAGTAGAAGCCTAAAGGTTGAACTTAATAATTTTGATATAACTGACATTTTGAATTTTTCTTTTTTTTGACATTTTTCAATTCATGCTTCTCTTGGTAGTTTTTCTTGTTAAAAAGGGAGCAATGAGTGTAGGTATCATTAAATTCATATACCAACTGGCCATGGCCCTAAAAGCTCAGTAAAGTGTGGTTAAACAAGTAACTTAGCTGCTTTTAACCAGTCTTTGGAATGTTTTTGTTGCTCGTGATCGCTCAAGCAACCCAGTACAGGGGAATGGTGTACATGTTGGGCTGGTGAGGATACACAAGTAAATGTAATTCTGGGGATTTGTCTTGTCAGAATCATGTCTTCTCCCTTGTTAGTCCTGGTACATTTTAACAGATGTCTTTTTGCATATAAGGATAACTAGAGTTTTTGTTAAAAGAATGGATTTCCACTGATTGTTTCATCTGGTTCACTTCGTTCTTGTGACCATCAGGGCATGATTGTAGAATAGAGTTGTCAAAAGATGTAGTTATTTTAAAAAGCAGGTATTATTTGTACAGATTTCTTCTTGCAGTGTGTTTTTAACTTCTAATTTTGCCTCCTTTGCATTTTTATGATACATTCTTAGTACATCTGTAAGAGCTAAAGTCAGTCTTTGAGGGAGCGTAATTTTAAATAAGATCTAAAATTCCTTTTATGTGTTTTAGATTCTGGAAGTTACGGTCAGTCCGGGGGTGAGCAGCAAAGGTAAAGTATATATACATTTGAATAATACAATGAGAAAGTAGAACTGAGAAAAAGATGAATGTAAGCTTCCCTCTTGAGATTTGATATCTGATTGACTTAAGAGAGCTAAATATTTGCTTCTCACAGAGAAGTCAGCCTTTCTATATATACATGCTATAAAACATTCTTTCTTTTTTAAAGAATCAGTGAAAAATAGATAACCCCTAGAGACTAAAACACATCCTCTAAGTATTGTAAAGATTATATTTTCTTTCAGAAATTAAAAAAAAAAATCCTTATTAAAAGGATTTAAGAAATTGAACTGTAACAGATAATTAGGAAAAAACACATTTTATTTTTTATTGTATATAATATACTAATGTGGTTTTCACAGACCAGATTTTCTTGAAGCTCTACAAACTCCTTACCATGCTCACAATGGAAACTCTGTTTTATGCGAATGTGTGCATGCAATAGGCTACTCTTAGCATAAATGTAGGCTTCAACTTATACATAAATAAATGTTTTACAGTTCAGTACAGTATATTCAGAGTAATGTCAGGTTATCTCTTGTCATCAGATTTTAAGCATCATAAAAACTGACTTGACTTTTCTTTTCATAAGATAGTGCTAACCTCATAGTAGGCATCTAGCAAATGTTTATTCAGTGAGAAGTATTTTATAAAGTTAAATTCTTTTAGCATGTAATAACCTCTAAAATACTAAAAAGAAACTAATGTAAATGTTTTAATTTTTGACGTGTTCAGAAAGTTTGTTTTTGACTTGCTAGACCTTACACGCTATAAAATTAAATTCAAATCTGAGGAATGTACATTTGTTATTTCATTCAATAACAGACTACTCCATTTCAGGCTCTGCTATGACTTGGAATACAGTATAATTTCATTCTATGATAGTACTCTGAAGATATACATACCTAAATTACTGAGGCATTAAAATTGGACTTTTAGTGCCACACTGCCTTTTTTTAGGAAGTTGAAGACAGATTTAAGATAAATGGTAGGAGAAATTAATCTGTCAAAACATAGCTAAATTGATTAAAATTCTAACTTAAGAGGCCATCATTTTCTGTTTCAGATATTTATTATGGGTCTTGCTGCCATGTAGTCACTCTCCTTACTCCTCCCCCCTCCCCTCCCCGTACCTCCCTGCCCCAAGTATAATTCTCTTGGGATTTTCTAGCTCTGGTGAAGTTTTGTTTATCTGTGGGAGATTGTCAAAACAAAATTTTTGGTGTTTTACATTTAGGAGGTCTAGGCGTGACTTTATGTTTTTAAGAGTCTTTGGTTATCACCTTGTGATTTAGACTATAAGAGCCAAGCAGTTTGACAGTTTCTCAGAAAAGAAGTTTGTATTTGAGTTAAAATGAAGATAGACTTCTTTAAAAGCATTTAAGTTTTAGCACATTTCTTTCAAGTAGTGTATTTTTATCTTACAGTTATTCTTCCTATGGAAATCAAGGCAACCAAGGTTATGGACAAGCACCACAAGTAGGTTAAAATATAAATTGTATTTTTAAATAGTTATTTTTATCTTAAGCAGGTGACAAAACTTGTATTTACCTAAATTTCAGAACTATTCTGGTTATGGGCAAGCGGCAGATTCCTCATATGGACAGAACTATGGTGGCTACTCCAGTTATGGACAGAGCCAATCAGGTTAGACTGGTTTCTTAAATTTTCTATTTCAGAAATTAAGAAAATCAGAACCTTTGCTAAATGGCATGTCCTTCCAATCTTTAGGTTATTCACAGTCTTACAGTGGCTACGAGAATCAGAAGCAGAGTTCATACGGCCAGCAATCTTACAATAACCAAGGACAGCAAAACACGGAACCATCAAGGTAAGGAAACAGTAAAAGTACTGAGCGTGTCGGGCATTGAAATAACATTTGGTGTATTAAACCAACAAATCAAAAAAAATCCTAGCTTTAACAAAATATTTTTTCCTGAAAAGTTGCAATAGTGTGAATCTCACAGTTTTGTCTTAAGAATGTGGAAATTGACAGCATTGTCATTTGATTCTTAGAATGTGTTGTTTGTAAAATTATTGTTTAGCTGTATATAAACACGACTTAAATGTTAAAAAGATTGGCCATCTTTTTTCTTTGTTTTTAAATATTTATTTATGCCTACAAGAGCTGGGAGGTGGGTTGGGGGCGGGGTGAGAGGATTCACCAGAGACAGTAGGGAGCAGAACAGGTGTATTGACTGAAATACACTGCTGAGGGGAGAAGCGGGTGAAACAGGAGAGGTCTGCTGTGCCATGTGGGTCAACTCCCTGGCCAGAATTGAACTCGTGTTGTAGTGGCTGCTGATAGCTTCATAGTGCTGAGATTTATCCCCTTGTGCCACCAGGGAGGCCCTGGACATCTTCTTTATACCTTAGATTAAATTTTTAAAAGTACCTACCTATCAAATTAGACTTCTCAATGCTTACCTTTTTCTCTTCCTATTTTTAAATCTTTTTAATGTATTACTTTTTTTTTTAAAGATTTATTTATTTGTTTATTTATACAAGCACTGGGTACAGTCAGAAGCGTGGGAGGGTGACAGAATTCACCAGTCAGAGCAGAGAGCAGAGCAGGCAGACTGACGAAACACACTGCTGAGGGGAGCAGCAGGTGGCAGGAGAGGTCTGCACGCCATGTGGGACCCTCGCCGGTGGCCGGGGATCGAACCGGCGCTGCAGAGGCTGCAGGCAGCTTCGCAACCCAGCGCTCAACCACTGCGCCACTGGGGAGGCCCATGTATTACTTTTTATTACAGAAAAAAGTGCCAAAACTCCCCACATATATCAGATACCCTAGAATATGTTTTATTTGTAATACAGGTAGTTGAATAGTTTACAAATTTTATGAAATTAAAAAATTTTCCAATTTGAAGATCCCATACTTGATAATAATTTTAATAATGACATCTTGCTTTTTTAAAAAAAAAATTGTGTTTTATATTTTGTGAAATGCTTTTATATTATCTCACTTAATTGAGCTTCAAATACTACTGTAATAACAATAATTCCCATTTTAAGAGATGTGAAGTTAAGATTACATATTCTGTCAAATTACACATCTTAAAAGTAAGGCAAGAACTGGAGCCTCCTTGGTGGCCAAGGTGTTAAGCACAGCACTGTGAAGCTATCCGCAGCCTCTGCAGCACAAAGTTCAATCCCCGACCGGCCAGGGAGCTACCCACATGGCGCAGCAGACCTCTCCTGTCTCGCCCGCTGCTCCCCTCAGCAGTGTATTTCAGTCAGTCTGCCTGTTCTGCTCCCCATTCTGTCTTAGAATCCTCTAACCCCCCGCACCTCTGGTCTACACTCCAGTTCTTGTATGCATGTAAATAAATCTTTGTATGTAAATAAATCTTTAAAAAAAAAATAAAAAGGGCAACAACTGAGATCAAGAGTATTTTCTCTGCAGTGAAGATTATTTCAAGTGAAATTCATAAAATAAAAGCATTGGGGAAAGATTTGTGACTTCAAAATATTAGTCTTACAGATATGAATGTGCTTTGAAAAGTGCAAAGTGGAGTACTAACGTATGAAATAATGTAAGAAAGGGCCTCCTTGGTGGCCTAGTGGTTAAGTCTCAGCACCGTCACCACTATGGCCTGAGTTTGATCCTTGGCCAAGGAGCTAACCCACATAAGGTGCAGCAGACCTCTCCTGTCTTGCCCGCTGCTTCCCTTAGCAGTGAATTTCAGTAAATCTGCCTGTTTGGCTCCACTCTGTCTCTGGTGAATCTCTCACCCCCTCCTACCCCTGGCCTACATTCCACTTCTTCTATGCAAAATAAATAAAGGAAATAATAGAAGAAAAAGTAATGTTACATTAGAAGGAATAACTAACTCTTCAAACCCTGTTATTAGTTTTAAATTTAAGGAGAATCCTTTTATAAATAAGAGTGCATTTTTGGAAGTGTGACTTACATATGGGTAGATCTAAGACCATTGTTGTGTTGTGGTGAGTTGGGGAGCATACTTTATTAGCTGTTCTAATCTGATATAGAATAAGATGTGACTATTAAATTATGAGACCTTTTTGTTCTCTTTTTTTAAGTAAACATTAGAACTCATCCATTAAGTATTCCTTTCAGCATTCCCATCTTGAGAGCAGGTATTTAATAGTCATATTGCTCAGAACATAACTAGAATTTTCTTTTTGAATTGCCAGAGATCATAGAATAACAATCTTAGTATTTAGTAGTCAGACTTTTCAGGATAAAAAAATGGTATCACAAAGCCAGTTTCTCCCTTTAACTCAAAAGACTTAAAGTCTGGATGATTTATTACTGTTTCCTAATTTTTACTATCATTGAAAATATTTAGAAGAATGTACTGTAGGTTCTAAAGATACTACCAAGAAAATAGTTACAAAAATATTATGAGGTAATGTTGTTAAATTAATAATTACCCTTTCAATATAACTGTTAAAAGGGCTCAGTCAGCACCTGTGGCGTATTTGTTAAAGAATAGGACATATTGTACTTTGTGGAACGTTAACTTTATTTTTAATTCAAGAAGATGGTAAAAACCATGGTGATTTTTTTGTTTAGTAGTTTTCAAAGGTGGCATGTGGTTTTTCTCATAAAGTGGCACCTCTTTAACGATAGTGAAGTCCTTGTAGGTCATTCCATTTGTGATAAGATTTTGTAGCAAAAACAGCTATATGATTCCCATGAGAAAGTAGTATTAAATATGGTTTATATGTAGCTGATCAGACCTCTTATTTCTGTCTCATCTCTGTTAACTTGCAGAGGTAAACATAATCTTTCTACAAAATCTCTTAAATTCTTGATTTCTCTTTAGCCAAGGTGGAAGAGCGCCTTCATATGACCAGTCAAACTATGGTCAACAAGATTCATATGACCAGCAGTCAGGTTATGATCAGCATCAAGGCTCATATGACGAGCATTCAAATTATGATCAGCAGCATGATTCCTATAATCAAAACCAGCAGTCCTACCATTCACAAAGGGAAAATTATAGCCACCACACACAAGGTAAGATATACTGACATTTATTATTTTTTTTTTTTCCTCAGTGTTTGTATGGTGAGTTTTGGATTAAAAGACCCACACAGGGTTTTACCTTTTTGTGAACGTTTAGGGTGCTCTCTCATGGCTATCAAACCTAGTTTATTCCATTTCTATTTATGCACTTTTCTAGAGACTCCCAAATGGTCACTTGACTTTTTATGGCTGATTACATGAATTTCCTTTGTTGTCATAGTCAACTTTGATCATTTGACAATGCTGCTACTACTAGTTCTTTTGGTAGCGGTATTATACTTGATTTGGGGAAATTATGACCCTATATACTAGCTTTCTCTAACTTCATCTAAGAAGGACCAGTTATTCTTTTCCCTTATTTTCTGTAGCATTTTCATCATCCCATACTGATACTTAGAAATCTGTCCTTGCAGTGAAAATAAATGCTTCAAGGGCAAACGTTCTGTCTTAATTCATTTTTGTACCTGTGTTGCTTTGTCTCTATTAAGCACTCAGTAAGTATTTGCTGAATAATTGGATGAATAAGTAAATGAATATAAAGTGGAAAGCTCATTCACTGAGGGCCTCCCTGGTGGCACAGCGGTTGAGCACTGGGCTGCGAAGCTGCTGGTTCAATCCCTGGCCACCAGCGAGGGTCCCACATGGCATGCAGACCTCTCCTGCCACGCCCGCTGCTCCCCTCAGCAGTGTATTTCGTCCGTCTGCCTGTTCTGTTCCCTGCTCTGGCTCTGGTGAATTCTCTCACCCTCCCACGCTTCTGACTGTACCCAGTGCTTGTATACATAAATAAATAAATCTTTTTAAAAAAAAAAAAGAAAGAAAGAAAGCTCATTCACTGAATATCTCAGATTGAAAATCCAGATAGTCCTTGTCTGTGCTTGCTTTACATTTAAATATATTTAAGGTATAGAGAGTAACTTTTAAAATTGGGGTTTTGCTTTTCATCTTTATTGGGGTTCTTGTACCTGATGTTTTTTAACTCATCATTCTCCATCACCAGCAGAGTAGTATTTGACGCTGCTGCAGTTCTCAAACTTTAAATTCCAGATGGTTTTTTGATGACTTGCATTTGAGTTCTGTGCACATATGCCATTTTCCAAAGGACATAATATGTGGCCTAAAGAGCCACTTAGGATTATGTTATGGGATGCCTTTGTCAGAAATGACAAATGGTCATTAATTTTTTTATGTATCATGTTCTTTTTTGTAGATGACCGTCGTGACATGAGTAGGTATGGAGAAGATAATAGAGGATATGGCGGGTCACAGGGAGGAGGTAGAGGGCGTGGGGGATATGACAAGGATGGAAGAGGTCCTATGATGGGATCAAGGTAAGTATTTAGATATAGATATCTACATTTCTTTCCTCTCTTTTTTCTTTTTTGGGTAACGTAGCATCTATTTTAGATGTTGTAGAGAAGAGAGCAGAAATTAAAAATTTTTGCATTTTTAAGATGTCAAATAAATTACCTCAGAGTAGGTGATGCTAGCAGTCAGTTTATGTGCTATATAGTAGTAAATACCAGAGGAGAAAAATCCCCTATATATTTGTGGTTAAGCCACTTAACTGTGTTTTTCCTGTCAGAGCTATAGAATCTAAACTCCTTTAAAAGATAACTCTGGGAAATCCAGGTGTACTATATATGTAATTTAAAAAAGGTAAGTTAATTCTAGATTGGAAGATAGGAAAGCTATTTCTAAATCTTAATCCCCTTGGAAAATATTAGGAGGCAATAGCAGCATGAAGGTAGGGTTGGTAATGGAGGATTTTATGTCACTATTTTGTCCCTTTTTTAAGTAAATAATTATTGAAGTAATCAACATAACATCATATACCATTGTGTATTTTGTCTAGACTAAGCTGTGGAAAAGGGATGGCTTTTTAATTCAACTTTTACCCCCTCATTGTTAATATTATCAGCCTTTGACATTTACTTATGGCATATATTTTGAAAGCTGGTTTTAAAATTATCTGTAAATATATCTGTAAATTTACCACTATGGCACTAAAAATAAGAATAAGAAAGAAGCTGACATTAATTGTCCTCAAATGAAGTTTGCAGATTGCAAATTTGTTGTAAAATACACAGTTCCTTGGGAACTGAAATAACCAGTGGCCTCTTAACTGAGGTGACCCAATAAACAAAACAAGTTACAACATACAGCACTGTTACTTCTTCAAGGGATTTGATCTCATTTACTTATATTTCTCTATGTTTAGTGTATAGTACTTTGATTTTAAGGCAAACTAAACATTTGATAAATTTTTATAATATTTGAACATTAAAAGTCTTTTGATTGATAGCCAAAGTCAATTTACTAAGGTAAAACAAATACATTGTGTGCTTCTTCATTACTGAAGAGAGCAGTCTGCTATCATGTGTATATAAATGTACAAGGTAAAGTGGCATGGTGCTTCCTCTACCTAATAACCTCCTTCCTCCAGCAGATTCCCAAATAAGGTAATTGATAGGTATTTTAACATTTTTCAGTTAATTTGTTAGATAACTGGCTGCCTGGAATCTATATTTTATGCTACATCCTAATTTAATGTTTTTCATAAACAAGTTACAATTAATATCCTAATTGATATATGAAACTATGACAGTGTCTAACTTAGAATAATAGAATCCCACTTTTCAGGAGGAGGAGGGTAGAGGAATCTTTAAAAATATGTTTTCATATTTCAGAGGTGATTTATCTTAGAATCAGAGCGTTGAAAGGACCCCAAATGATCCTCCTAATAAAGGATATTTACCGTTCCTAAAATCCCATTTTTAAACACTTTTATAACGTTGGCAAAGTATTTCAGTTTAAGTTTTGGCTCAGATACTGAATCATGAATTACGTTTTTGATTTTCAATTTTTTAAATTTAGTTTTAGCACTTCTTCAAACAGTCTTATGCAGAAGCCCACTATTTGATTCAAGTCAGGGTAGGATTGGGGAAGGGGTATTGTCCAATTGCTGACTATACCGTACCAACCCACCCACCCCAAACCAATAAATAGGGTGTTTTAGAAATTGATATGAATGATTACTCTGTATATTAGATTGGCAGACTTTTTATGTGAATGGTCACATAATAAATTAGTTTTTGTAAGCCATGCAGTTTCTTTTGCAACTACTCAGCTCTGTACTTGAGTGTCAGAGCAACCATAGGCAATATATAAATGCATAAATATAGTTGTGCTTCAGTTACGCTTCATTTATGGGTACTGGAAATGAAGTTCTTATAATTTTTGTGTGTCACAATAATACCTTGTTCAAGATGTGCTTTTTAGCTTATTTATAGGGGTAAAGTGTTCTGAATTTGAATATAAGCGCCCAGTTTCAAGATTTTTTTTTCACACTTGGTTTTGCATTTAAGTACCAAATGCCCAAACATTTTTTGTTAGTCTTCATCAACACTCCCATTTGTGTTTCTAATCATCTTACTTAAAAATAGCAAGGTTGAAAATAATCTTTTGCAGACTGGTGAATACCTGGCATTAGTTGGGTTTATATTTAAAGAAGGTGAAGGTGGGCTGTGTGTTAAAGGATAGGAATTCTTAGTAGGCTTTATGATTGCATGACTGGGAGGAAAATTCAAACCAAAATGAAGCTGTCAAATTTACAAATATGGAGATAAATGTGAATCTTGCAGTGACTATAGGGAAACTTTTGAAAAAGTAATTGAAGCAAAAAAGATTGACTTTCTAATTGTCATCTAAAATTGATCACTGACCTCTTTCGGTTTTAGAAGCTAAGACCATAAATTTTGTCAGTGTTTTTAACTTCAGTATTGTGATAAATCCATAATTGTGTTCCATTATTAGCATGTCATCAAAGTAACTGTTTCAGGCCTTAATATCTCAGACCTAAAATAAGTTTTCTTGACGTTTGACTGTCATCGTCTTACCAGAGTGTTGATCAGCTCCTTTGAAATGGTGCATATGTTCTTGTGATAATATAGAACGGTGCTGCCCAGTAGAACAATAATGTGGGTCACAAATGTGAGCCATGTATGTAATTTAAAATTTTCTTGTAGCCACATTGGAAATTAATTTAATTTTTTAAAAAAGATTTATTTATGCATACAAGAACTGGGGTGTAGGCCAGAGGTACAGGGGGTGAGAGGATTCACCAGAGACAGAGTGGGGAGGAGAACAGGCGGATCTACTGAAATACACTGCTGAGGGGAGCAGTGGGCAACAGAGAGGTCTGCTGTACCTTGTGGGTTAGCTCCCTGGCCAGGAATTGTACAGATTGACCTTGACCGTAGCAGTGGCTGGCAGTAGCTTGATAGCCCTGAGACTAACTCTTGCGTCACCAGGGAGGACCTAAAATTAATTTTTAAAAAGATTTATTTATGCATACAAGAGCTGGGGTACAGGCCAGAGATGCGGGTGGGGGGTGAGAGGATTCACCAGAGACAGAGTGGAGAACAGAACAGGCGGATTGACTGAAATACATTGCTGAGAGGAGCAGCGGGGGAGTCAGGAGAGGTCTGCTGCACCATGTGGGTTGCTCTCTGGCCGGCGGGGGATGGAACTCGTGCTGCAGAGGCTGCGGATTGCTTCATAGTGCTGTGCTTAAACCCTTGCGCCACCAGGGAGGCCACCTAAAATTAATTTTACTTGTTACATATTTAATATATCCAAAGTATTTTATCATGTAGTATAAAAATTACTGAGATGGTGTGCAATTTTTTATATTAGAACTTTGAAATCCTTTTTTTTAACATTTAGATTACATCTCAATTTAAAGTACCCTGATTTCAAATGAGCCACATGTGGCTGGTGAATATCAGATTGGTCAGTGCAGCTTTAGAGTGATAGATTCTTGGCATCCTGGGATATTGGTAAATTGACTCCACACATAAAAGATGTGGGAGGAAATAAACATAATTATAACTACTTAAGAATGGTGTTTCAGTCTATTGAATCATTTACATTTGTTAATATTAGCCTTCATACCCCAAAACTTATAGATTAACTACAAAACTCAAGCCCAGCGTAGTTTTTTAATAACTAAGCTTTTCCAATTTTTACCTAAGTATTTTTTTTTTCTCTAGATATTAAATTTTCTGAGAATATAGATGCCTATATTGATCTTTTGCTTTTTGGCAGTTTTAGATTTTTTTTTAATTAAAGATAATAAAATTTCTGCCAAAGAACCTTTTCTTTCTTGAAACTATCTGAGACATAATCTTTTTCCTCTAAATATATAATGCTGTTACTGAGAGAACCCCTCAGAGACTAAGGTAGGCTCCTCACTGTGGTTTTGAACTTGGGACAAACATTACTGTATTTGAGTTAAGAATTGGATCGCTTCTTGACCTTTTGGCTAAGATTAAATGAAGAATATACAATTGGTTTTCTTGTAGGGGGCCATTCCTAATGCATATTATGTCTCTACTTTAATAAAATTCCTCACCTTAAAAATGTCCTTACTTCAGAAATTCTTTATGTGTACAAGTTTGCTTTTTCTGGGAGGACAACACATTTGTTGTGCAACATCTTGACTCAGATGTTCACATACCTTTGTGTCTTAATTTGCTAGGGAGTCCTTCACTTAGTATATGCGAAAGGGACATGTAACTTGACTTCAAGTTTGAAAGAAAGATTTTTAACTACAGTTCCATCTTCTGTTAGCTTTTTAATAGTGAGTACTGCTTGAGGTTTATTTATTACATTTATGTAATATTTCCTGATAAGGAATTATAATTAATATTGAATTTCCTAATAAGAAGAAAATGGTTGAACTTGAAAGCTTCACATAGAATTACAGATCATTTAAACCAGTGCTTAAACTTTCATGCGTATATAAATTCCTTGGGGGTCCTATTAAAATGCAGATTCTGATCCAGTAGTTCTGAGGTAAAGCCTGAGATCCTGCTTACTGAGAAGCCTCTCAGGCTCCTCCTATGCAGCTTTTCCATGGACCACTCTGAATAGCAAGGGTAGTCGAACCTTCTTTATTTTCTGAAAGAGGAAGCTAAAAGGGAGATTATTTTCTTGTCTAAATCTTCGAGATACATTAGTGATAGTTATAACTATACCCCGAGTCTCTTAATTTGAAGACCGGTAATTTTTCAGACGCGTTCTGCAGTTTCCATATTTATGCTATTGTGTTGAAATCATCAGCTGCTGTGTTTTCAAAGGAAATGCTCAGTAAAGAAAACTTAAAATGTCATGAAGGAATAGGAAGATATAGCTGATTCAAATGTAATTTGTTTTATATCCCTTTTATTTTGCTGGGGTATATCCTTCTTAAAAATTTTTTAGGGTTATATTTATATTGCTAGCCAGAATAGAAATTTTAAGAACTAGCTGATATATGAAATTGCATTATTTTCCCTCTATTGTGGTCAGATAAACAGTTTGGTACTTGGTTAATATGACAGCAAAACAATTATGAGGTATCTTAAATCTTAAATTTTCATAAGAACACTTGTGAAAAATTCCTATGTAAAAACTTTATCCTGAGGACTTTAACCTCCTGACATAGGGGAATGTGAGCTTAATATTTTCCTTAGTTCTTTCTCATTTTGTGGAGTCCTAATGATCACCTTTGAAGAAACCTAAGATATCTTGGTTTCTAGTGGTTATATTTTCAGTAGTTTAACATCAAGAACTTTGTTGACTTCCCTTTCTTAAAGAATTACAGTGAAATACAGGTCATTTAGAAGCGTAGGGATGACTTGGGTACTGTTTTGAAAGAAGGGTCTTAGAGACTCACTAGGAAACTATATGTGTGTGAAGGACCTGAGTTATGTATTGTCTCTAGAGCCTTGAAATAGTCTTAATCTCTTTTTTAGGCTTCTTATTAATCAAAAATTAATAGCAAATTTAGATGGATGTGTCTGTACCTAAGTGGGTTGCCAGGGGAAATTTTTTTACATCAAGTTAGAATAGATTTATAAAGGAAGAATGCTTTCTCATTTAGTCAGTGTTTTTTTTTCTGGATGGTTCACAAAAGTCATCATCAGTAATGTGATCACACAGGCAAAGGTCTTAAAGCATTGAAGAGATTAGGGTATTGGTGTTAGTTTCTTGGATTATAATAGAAGATTAGTAGTAGTAGATTAGATATCCATCTGAAAACTTTGCATGTTTTTATTTCCATGTCAGCACATGGATCTTAGAGCATAATTTAATTCAGCCAAGAAAAACTAACTTCTAATACATGGGTATTTTTGAAGAGCGATTTTAGATTTCTTACTTCAAGCTTTGCACATAAGGACCATTGATTTATCTGGCAGAGGCTTTGTCCAAACTATTTTTTTGTGGGAAGCTGCAATATTGGACTATGTTGCATTCTGTCTCTGATATGATCTATTCATTGATGTGGTATGAAGAATTGTTGGCAGCACGAACCTTGGTAGCTCTGATGTTGTGAAATCTAGTATATTATAGTTGTATGGAATAGGAGGGCAATTTTAAGTTATGGTTTTTTTTTTTAGTGCTCATTTTGTCAGATTTCTGAGTGATTTGAAATTTTAAGACTACTTTCATTCAGACTTAATTTTGTGCATATTTTGTACCTCAGTTTTTTTTTTCCATCTCATAATACCTACTATTTGGTATCACAATAGAGCCTGGTATTCAAGTTTTTACCTCTCCCATTTTGCTATCAAATCTTAACCTTGCTGTATATTATTGTTCTAGTTTTTTTTCCCCTTTTTGTCATGTTAAAAAAAATCCCCCAGGACAGAATGTTTGCTGTAATTCAGCATTCCACATGCTGTTCCTTTAGCTAATAGTAATAGTACCCCTTTCAGAGTTGGGAACATTTTAAAATAAGTATATTAGATGTGTTCTTTAAGTATATTAGATGTGTTCTAGAAGGCACCCTTGTGGAAATAGATCTTGGGAAAACACTTGTGAAAACAACATTTTGAAGTCTATGAAATGGAATTTATTGGAAAGATAGAGGTGCTACTGTTTTCCTAGGTGCTCTACTTGTGACAGTTAAGTGTAGATTGAGCCCAGGGCTCAGCACATTAGAGACTTAAGGAAGAAATCATTTCTTCAATTTTTCCTCTGCAGTGGTGGTGACCGCGGTGGCTTCAAAAATTTTGGTGGTAAGTGCTGAGTATCCCAAAATGTTTCAGTGGAATTGCTATATAAATCTAAAAGCCACCAATATCCCGTAGACGCAGTCTAAAATCCTTTCTTACTCTGTTGAGGCTGGTGTGTGTTGTGTGCTTAAAAATTTTTTATATGTATATATATATATATATACACACATATATATACACATATATATCAAAGAAAACATTAAAAAGCCAGAGTTGATCTCAAATAGACCAATGGGTTTCTACACAGTGAATTTGCATGAAAGAGTCTGTGGTGACCAATGAATGAGACCTTCACTGGATTTTGGCAGTATGATTTTTACTAAAGGTAGCTGACATGGTGCTTTTAAATTGTTAGGGTTTTCCAATCAGCCTTCACAACCAGAGCTTAACAAAAGTGATATTAGCATAATGCCAAAGTGGTGGGTGCCGTCTGGGACAAGTTTAAGGAAATAATGACAACTTGATTCTTAAACTTTTAATAAAATATAATTATACAGTTACTTTGTAAATCAGTTATGGTTGACTTTCAAGGATTTCAAATACTGACTTTTCATGTCTTGGTTATTATAGTTTTTAATTATTTCTAATGAGTTGCCTTAAATAGTTTTTTTCCTTTTTCTTTTCTTTTCCCTTAGGTCACAGGGATTATGGACCCAGACCAGATGCTGGTAAGGCTTATGATAGTTTGTGACTTTGTAGTTAAGAAAACATTAGTTTTCCATTTTTTCAAGGGAAAAATGTGTGTTTGGAGGAGTTAGTACAGGAAGAAGATTTAAATGTAAGTGCTGGCAGAACCACGGCACTTCACTTTTAAATACATACCACAAAGAAAAATCCAGTGGACTTGATTGGAAAGTTTGCTGGGGAAAATTGCTGTTTATGTTTCTCCTGGCTCTACTTTTTATTTTTTATTGTTAGTTAGTATTTATTTAATTACTACAAATCAGATTTAATGAGAGAATTGGTATCATTGGGAAATTAGAAAAGCTGTGTTTAAGAAAATGTTTATATTGGATTAGTGGGCCTAAGAAACCTGAATTTATATGTGAAAAAATTGTCTTACTTTGGGCATAGGTCACTAAAATCATGTGGCTTTTTATTTTTAAAAGAAATTAAAGGCTACATGGAACTTTTTGAAAGTTAGGACTTAGAGATTAAAAATCTATTTGAACCAAAAAATTTTAATATATTGAAATCAGAACTTTTGTTTTTATTAAGATGCCAAAGTATTCTATATGGATGGCAATTTCTGAATTATCCCTTGATGGACTGAATTTTTGTACATCTTTCTTACTTTGTTGTACTAATCCAAAAGTGTGCGTGTAAGGTAAGGTGTGTGTCAAGGTGCCCTACCCTCTGGTATATACAAAGCTTATTGCAATGAATGGGAAACCAGCAATTCTGCTTGGCTTGCTTGAAAGTCCAAAATGTCAGATTTGGGGAATTTTCTACTAGAGAGCCTTAAAAGTATTGAGTAGTCAAAGAATGAAAGCTCTCCAAAGAAATGAATGCTAATTTATACTAACTTTTTTATCTCTTCATGAACTTTAGTCTAGTATTTGACTCTGAAGAGAGAGTTGTAAGATCTCCCTTAATTGATCTCTGTATTTCGCACAGTGTGGACTTGATCCACTTTACCTGAAGTTTAATTGTAAGAATTGATCTACTACCAAATAACTATTGTGACCACTTTGCATGTTTATATAAGATTTTACTTATGTTGGTCCTTTTTCCTTCTGGTCATAGAAACAGTTGAATATTGGACAAGAAATTACTGTTTTTGATTACTAAACAGGATGTAGTAAAACCAAGGAATATATAAAATTAACCATTATTTTTTTTTCTCTTAGATTCAGAATCTGATAATTCAGATAACAACACAATTTTTGTGCAAGGACTTGGGGAGGGTGTATCTACAGATCAAGTAGGGGAGTTCTTTAAACAAATAGGAATTATCAAGGTGAGTAAAAAGTATGGCTTACATTTGAAAAATCTCATTAACTTTTTTTTTTTTTAAAGGATTTATTTATTTACACCTACAAGAGCTGGGATATAGGCCAGAGGTGCAGGTGGGGGAGGAGGTGAGAGGATTCACCAGAGACAGAGTGGGGAGCAGAACAGGTGGATCTGCTGAAATACAGTGCTGAGGGGAGCAGTGGGCTTGACAGGAGAGGTCTACTGTGCCATGTGGGTCACTTCTCTGGCCAGCCAGGGAATTGAACTTGTGCTGCAGTGGCTGTTTGATAGCGCTGTTTTTTTCATTGAGATATATAAATTAACATAATAAACCTGTGTTCCAGTAAGTCTTGACATTTAAAATTCCCTGATATATATGCTCACCTATGTCTGTCAACTTTTGCTAAATTTGCTAAATAATACATGAAAATTTTATTCCTTGCTTGTTTTTACTTTTCCACAGTCTTCCACAGCTTTAGCTTTTAGTCGTAGGGCTCTAACAGTAGATTATGCCTAACTTTTGAAATTTTGAGACCCAAATAAGATTGTGAGAACATTTTATAGATTCTGTAGTGCCAAACTATGCAATCTCATGTTGCTACTAACAACTTTTTATTTTGGTATTAAATGTCAGTGCTACATGTTGGCCCAAAGTTTTATAACTTTATTGTTTATTTAAGTATTTTGTGTACTATTTCATCTCTTCCACTAGAAAGCGTTTAGAGTAGTGTGGTAGTACATTGTAGCATTTGCCTGAAATAAGTTTGCAATTATTCTGTTCTGTTGCCTGTGGACTTACTGCTATTTTTCCTTTTCAGGAAGCTAACAATTTTTAAGAGATTAATTATGCATGAAATATGTAACACAAGTCCCACAGTTCTGATTAAATAAAAATTCTCCTTGTCTTCCATTCCTGTCCCAGCCAAATCTAGTGTGTACTCCTTAATGGTGATCTATTGATTTTTTTGTTGTTGTGGGTATTTTTCCTAACCCTTTAAAAAGTGTTTTACAAGTATTTATATTTATATGAAATGTCTCCCTTTTTTGTAGGTTTAAAGAAACTATAAAACAGTATTCTTTATGTCATTTTTTTATAGCTTGGTTTTCATTTAAATGTATCTTAATTTTTCTTTTTAAAAGTTACAGATAACTTCACTTTTTATTTACTGCATATTATTGTATGAATGTATGAATTCCTTAAAAATATGTATCTTTAATTATCTTTATGATTCCTGATCTTTATGAGTTTCTTAAAATGCCAACACCAAACTTTTCTGTTCCTCAGACAAATAAGAAGACCGGAAAACCAATGATAAATCTATACACAGACAAGGATACAGGGAAACCTAAAGGGGAGGCAACAGTGTCATTTGATGACCCTCCTTCAGCTAAGGCAGCCATTGACTGGTTTGATGGTAAACCTCATTCCTATAGTTTCAATATACAGTTTGGATTAATGTTTTCTAATCTTGAAGTCAGAATATGTTCTGGTAAACTGCTTATTTTCATGTTTACTGTTGTAGATATTTTAAGAATATAGGATAGGGTTTTTATATACCTTTAGAAATGAGACAAGCTGTCTTCTTTGTTTAGACTATTTCCTTAAATCATGCTTTAGGCTTGAGGCCACCCTCATATAGATGTAGAGGATTGGTTTGGTTAATTCTATTGTCTTTTAAAATTCAGATTAATTTACCTTCAAATTAGAAGAAATAGTAAGACTTTCCCTCTATGGAAATAAGACAATATGGAAAGGTAAAAACATCTGTAGTCCTATACTCCTGTACTTAGAGATAACGACTGATAATATTTGTTGGTAAACTTCCTTCTGGTCTTTTTTTATTCCATATGTAATTTTGTCTCATAATTTTTTCTCTTAACATTTTAATAATCATTTCTCCATGTTAATTGCAAATTCATTGTTTTTGTTGTACCCTAATTTGATAACTAATATGTACTATATGTTTACTGTGGTTTATGTGCTAAGGACAGTTCTAAGGGCTTTACATGCATTAAATCAATTTGATCTTTACAATAACCCCATGAAATATAGGCTCTAGTATTACAGTTTACAAATGATGAAACTGAAGCACAGAGAAGCTAATTTCCAGGATCACAGATTAAGTGTCAGAGTTAGGATTTTAACTCAGCCTGGCTTCCCTATTTCTAAAGTATTTAGTTATGCTGATTCACAGACACTTGGGGTCCTTTCCAGTTTCAAGATGATTACACCTGTGTCTTCCAAAATATAGTTGCATTTCTTTAGTTCTTTAAAGATGTGCTTGTGATAGCTTGTCTGTCTTCACCTCCATACTTGTCTTTTTGTACTATTCCATCAGATCCTGTCACCTTGTTCATGAAGGTTAGATCTATTCTTCCTTGCTTTTTTGTTTTGTTTTTCCCCCAGTTTCTGGGAATCACAAAGCAATTTCTGTTGCTCATGATACATTAAAAAAATTATTGTGCGTTTTGGCCACGGGATATATGAGCCTTTTATTTTTAAATTTTTTGGGAACTTCTTTTTTCTTTTTTTAAGAGATTTATTTATACAAGAACTGGGGTACAGGCCAGAGATGCAGGGGGTGAGAGGATTCACCAGAGACAGAGTGGGGAACAGAACAGGCAGACTGACTGAAGTAAACTGCTGAGGGGAGCAGCAGGAGAGATGGGAGAGGTCTGCTAAGCCATGTGGGTAGCTCATGGGGAACAGACTCATGCTGCAGCAGTTGCGGATAGCTTTATAGTGCTATGCTTAACCCCTTGCGCCCCTATGAACCTTTTAAATCTAACTTTATATTTCACATCTTACATATCTTTTTATAGCATTTAAAATGCTAATTTCATGAGTTGCTTCCTATGTCTATGTGCTTGTTATGGCTACCATCTAACATGGAAAATTGCCAGGCACAGTGATTAGGGTTTTGGTCAGGGAGATAAAGCTCCTGGATTTAGAATTATTTTACAAATGCTTAGGTATCTTTTCTTTATCTGTCAATTCTCTTGTTTAAAGTAAAAAGATTAATTCTTAGCTCTAAGACTCTGGCACAACGTATATCTATATGTGTGCATACATATAATTACATATGTACACACTTTTTTTTTTTAACGATATTACAAGTGGTTAAAAAAAAGTTTCAAGCAATGCTGAGTATATTGTAAAAAATGAGTTTCCTTTCCACGTTTGACACTCAGTGATTTTTATTTCCTTTCCTGAGAGAAAACAATTACCTCCTCTCAGGAGGTAAATACACATAAATACACAGTAGGCAGTGTATTTATGAGCAATGTTTATACACACATGTGCACACAGATATGGTAGCATACTACACACATTTCATGTTTTTTTCCGTATGAAAGTATTAAATGTGGGTTTTTTTGCTTAGTAAGAAGTGAGATTTGTCAGTAGCTGACAGATTTGCTCTATTCAGTGGATTGTGGCATGTTTTAGCATTGTTACTATGACTTTTTGGAATGCTAGTTTGAATTTCTCTGAGGACATGTCTGTTACTCCTCTAAGACTAAAAATTCCGAGTTTTATATATATTTTTTAATTTTTTTTACATTATTTTATATATTTTTTACATTATTTTTCATTTTTGCATAGTTTTATATTTTTATTGAGAGGTAGTGATGTAAAGTAGCAGTTCTTCAAAAGGCCTTTCTTTTTTCTTAGGAAAAGAATTCCATGGCAACATCATTAAAGTGTCCTTTGCTACCAGAAGACCTGAATTCATGAGAGGAGGTGGAAGTGGAGGAGGGCGGCGAGGTAAGATACTTGTTGCTCACAGACTTAGGGTTTAAATTTGAGTTCCTATTTTGACCCTATTGTGTGAACTTGCTATTAATTCATCTTCTCCCTAGGTGTTGTCCCTTCTAAAAGTTGGGTGGGTACTGAATAGATTAGGGAAATAAAGTGTCATAATAGTTCTCAGAAAGAAGTGGCAGGAAGGGTCTAGAAATTTCTCTGGAAAGTTATATAGTGGTTTATTGTTCACCTGGAAATCAGCAGGTAATTGTTTAAATAATACGTAATTCGTCAATTAATCTGACTAGTTTGTAAGTTCCCCTATTCAGTTATTGCCATCTTGTTCTTTTCTCTTGGATCTAATTCCTTAAATTTGCAATGTCTCCTGACTTAAATGTTTGTTACTGAGATTCTTAAACTAAGGAGAGTATTATAGGTAGTGGGTTTGCACTTTGTACTGCATTATTTGCACTGTAATTGTGTCTGGGCTCTTTTTCTACGTGTCTTGCATTTACTAAGTAAAGCCCTGAAATCAAGGAATCCTGGAGTCTTACCCATAAGGGTTAGTTTTGGGGAATTGTTCAGTTACTGATGGCCACTTGCTCAAAGTTCTTTCATTTGGTGCTTTCCTCTGCTTTATTAACATCTGCTAATGATTATTCACTTCTTCCCCAAGGCCGTGGAGGATATAGAGGCCGAGGAGGCTTTCAGGGGAGAGGTGGAGACCCCAAAAGTGGGGACTGGGTTTGCCCTAATCCGTAAGTATCCGTTTTACTTTGGTGGGAGTTGCAGTTGGCATTGGGGTTGGAGAGTGCAAGAGGGGTTTATGAATCCATTGGAAACTAATGAGGAACATTTTTGTTCCCTTTTCAGGTCATGTGGAAATATGAACTTTGCTCGAAGGAATTCTTGCAATCAGTGCAATGAGCCCAGACCAGAGGATTCTCGTCCCTCAGGTGGAGGTATGTCAGCCTTTTGGGCCAACCTTTTAATAGCATCTACGTAGTATTTATATTCTAGCTAGCATTAAGAAGGCTTTGTATTATTCTAATGGCCTGATTGGTTTGCATTTCTACCTTGCAGATTTCCGGGGAAGAGGCTACGGTGGAGAGAGGGGCTACAGAGGTCGTGGGGGTAGAGGCGGAGACCGAGGCGGCTACGGTGGAGACAGAAGTGGGGGTGGCTATGGTGGAGACAGAAGCGGGGGTGGTGGCTATGGAGGAGATAGAAGTGGGGGTGGCTATGGTGGAGACAGAAGTGGGGGTGGCTATGGTGGGGACAGAGGAGGTGGTTATGGTGGGAACCGAGGCGGCGGCTATGGAGGTGACCGTGGAGGTGGCTATGGAGATCGAGGAGGTGGTTATGGAGGAGACCGGAGTGGTGGCTATGGTGGAGACCGAGGTGGCTATGGTGGCGACCGAGGAGGCTACAGCGGAGACCGAGGTGGCTACGGTGGAGACCGAGGTGGTTATGGTGGAGACCGAGGTGGCTATGGTGGAGACCGAGGCGGCTACGGTGGAGACCGCGGCAGCTATGGAGGAGACCGCGGTGGCTACGGAGGAGACCGCGGTGGCTATGGAGAACGAGGAGGCTACGGAGGAGACAGAAGTGGGGGGGGCTATGGAGGCGACCGTGGTGGTGGCAGTGGCTACGGTGGAGACCGGAGTGGAGGCTACGGGGGAGATAGGAGTGGTGGTGGCTATGGAGGAGACCGAGGCGGGGGATATGGAGGAGACCGAGGCGGCTATGGAGGCAAAATGGGAGGAAGGTGAGTGTCAGAACGTGCTTACTAACCTTGCGTCACTACTACTAGGTTTTTAGGGTCTGAGCATTTTTTTGTCATTTTCTTCTTAGTGTGCAGTTTTTTTTGAACTTGAATTTTCCATTGCTAGCAGTCACAGGATGGGGATTCATTTAGTTTCTTGCTTAGCAGCTTGCAGCATTTATTTGGTTATGGAAATTCTTACTCCTAAATTGTTATATTTGTATAAGTGTGCATTTGTTTATTCTTCATCATTCCTAAAGATAATTGAGAATGACAGTTTGAAACTGTGTAAATTGGGTTCTTAATCTAAGTGAGGGGGGGAGCACACCTTTCAGATGGGTTTTCTTTTTCAAATCACATGTGCTGCCCTTTAGTTTCTTCTCTGGAAATTCTGGTAATACCTTTTCCAGATGAAAATAAGACTGTACTCATGGGAATGTATTGTGCATATGAGTGGTAAAGAGGTGGAAAAAGTTGCATAACCAATGATGTAGTGTAACTTCAGTTATACCTAGTATACTAGGTATCTATATGCCAGAGGCAATATATGGTAGCAAAAATTAGTATAGCGTGTGGTTAAGAGAATAGAGTTTGAAGACACTGGTTTCAAATTCTAGCTCCACCATGAACAAGCTATGTGACCTTAGGTGAGTTACTTAGCCCTTTGGCACATCAGGATGCTCATCTGAAAAAGCACTAATAATACCCCCTTTGTAGAGTTTTATTAGATTATAGCAGTTGCTGGCCCATAGTAGGTACTCTGAAATTGTTAGCTGTTAGTAATTATCATCTGTTGAACACTTCTTACTGTGTTGCAAATCCTATGAAAGTGTTTTTATATGTTTTAGTTGTAGTCCTGTCAACCCCATGACGTACACGTTCTTCCCATTTTACAAAGTAGTAAATGTTGATTACTTTTCCAAGGTCACATAGTAAATGGCATATGCAGAATTCTTGTATGAAAGCGTTGGTGTTATTCCACTGTGCCTCTCCTCTGTTCATAGAGTGTTGCAGTTGGCACAGTCTCTGACCTCCTGAAATACCATAGTGCTTTGGAGTTCTTAATTCTAGATGGGAGGTTTTTAAGAGAATTAGTGATTGCAAAGCTTTTAAGAACTTTGTGTGTCTTAGAACTGATAAATTAGACATTTATTAAGTATATTTTAGGGGAAATAAGGAATGGTGTCATTCTTACAGAAATTATAGAGCTGATACAATTACCAACACTCTGAAGTAGTGTCTTATGCTCCTCCTTGGTAGAAAATTAGAATTTAGTTTGGCTCTTTATTTTTCATTCCTAGAAACGACTACAGAAATGATCAGCGCAACCGACCATACTGATGACTGTTTTGAATGTTCCTTTGTCTCTGACATGATCCATAGTGAAATTGCCAGAGTTTTGCCTGCTGCTTTCCTCGTGGCCTCTTCTTGGGTAGTGAAATTAAGTGACATTTGGATTTTTATTTGGGTGGGAGGGCTGGGACAGTTTTTCTTTTAGAAATGTCCACTGATATTTCCCCCTTAGTTTCCAACCTTTTCCCTACCCTTGAAGCTAAGTGCATTGTAAAATATTGCCAAAATGGAAAGTGTTTTGTAATACTGCAATAAAGGCTGCTTGTTTTGTGGATTTTTGTACATTAGTGCATTGCCTGTCACACTCAGGACTCAGTTACAGCAGATTCTAACTCTGAAGAATTAGGAAATGAATTTTACTGCATTAAATTAAAATGTTATTTTTAATAATATATATTGAACTCTTCTGTTTAGAATAGTAGTTTTCAAAAAAGACTACGTGTCAAAATCACCTCAGGAGGTTGTCAGAATTACAACTCCCTATACCTCACCCTAGGTCTTCTGGATCCGAACTTGGGGTGTGGGGAGACAAGGCTAGGAATCTTGATATAAACTAGCCAGGTGATTTTAACAAGAGTCCTTTTGGTTTCAGTGTACAGTTGAGAACCATTTAGGACTGTTCTGGATAGTGGAATATAGAGATCTAAGGGCCAAGGAGGAGGACCCATTCAACCAGTCAATATTAAGAAACCAGTGTTCATGCATGTTATTTATTTTTTAAAAAGATTTATTTATTTATGCACATAAGAGCTGGGGTACAGGCCAGAGATGTGGGGTGGTGAGAGGATCCACCAGAGACAGAGTGGGGAACAGAACAGGCAGACTGACTGAAATACATTGCTGAGGGGGGCAGCGGGCAAGACAGGAGAGGTCTGCCTTGCCATGTGGGTTTCTCCCCTGCTGGCCGGAGATTGAACTTGTGCTGCAGAGGCTGTGGATTGCTTCATAGTGCGGTACTTAACCCCTTGCGCCACCAGGGAGGCCCACAGGCATGTTATTTGGTATTCATTAGAAGACTATTTTTCCTGCCTTTACTAAGGGTAAGGCACTGCACCAGATGTATTTGTTGCCCATCAAGCAAGTAGACAGTAAGTAGTCTCATAAGTGCTCCAACAAGAATAAGTACAAGGTGCTTTGAGGGCTGATTTGAAGGACTCTTTATATCTGGACATTTGGGTATGGGAAGGCTTGAGGGGAGACTAGTAATTGGCCATGTAAAGAGGCTGGGGTCAGGAAATGGTATTCCCAGCAGAAAATTAATGACATGAACAAATAAGTCAGAAGTTGAGTCAAAGAGTGAGGCTCAGGCCTTGTACTTGAGAATGATGTGCAGTGCATTGTGATAGGATAGAGGTCAAGGAGGAGCATGCAAAGGATAAGACTGGAAAGGTGAAAAGAGCTCTGTGATAGGCCCTTGCATTTCATTTTTTCCCCTGCTGCCAAGTAGGGAGTTATAAAAGGATGATAAACGGGAGTGACCTGACCATAATGACATCCACTGAAAGATGATTTTATGACTGCTGTGTGGAGAGTCTGGAGACAGAATGGTAAGCCAAGTGAGAGATGATTTGGTATGAGCTCAAATAGTGCTGGGGAGTGGAGGAGAAAACTAAATAGAGCTTAGAAAGGAGGAAGGAAATGTGACAGAATTTGACATTCTGGATATCAGAAATAGCATAGAGAAAGGAGTCAAGTTTCTTCCCTGGGCAACTGGATAGAAGTTCATTGAGATAGCAAACACTGGAGAAAGAATAGATTTGCAAACAAGATGTGGGGAATGAATTCGGTTTGGGGTATGTTGAGTTGGGGCACTTGTGAAACTTCTAAGCAGGCAGTTGGATGTGCAGATCTGCAGCTCAGAACACATTGGCATTCAGCACTATATTTTCTTGATTTTCTTCCTTTATCATCTCTACTTGACCTTTCTTTACATGTTAGAAGTTTCTCAGGGCTTGTTCTGATTTCCTTTCTCTTTTCTGTTTATACTCAACCTGGGCGAACTCATTCAGGTTATGGCTTTTATTTCCTACCACCTCCCTTACACCTCTTTCACCCTTTATCCCTTCCCTCTCCCCCTTGCTTCAGAAACTTCCTTTATTAGTGTTTGTTAGTTTTCTTATGCTTTGTGGAGTTGTCTGCTACATCAATGCCCAATATTTGTCTTTACCATTCTGACATGCTTTATTGCACACCCTCGAATTCCTTCTATTTTGCTTCCATTTATAAATGGCGTCATTTCATCTTTCCTTATGGCTTAGTATTCCATTATGTGGATGTACAGTCCCCTATCAGTGAGTAGAGGAAACTTCCATGTCCTACCTATTGTAAATAATGCTGCAATAAACTTTTTGTGGAACATACACTTTTTTTGGTCATAATATTTGGATAGAGAGTGAAATTGCTGGGTTGTAGGGTATTTTAAAGGTAAATCTAGATAACTTTTTTTTTTTTTATTAAAGATTTATTTATTTAATTATACAAGCACTGGGTACAGTCAGAAGCGCGGGAGGGTGAGAGAATTCACCAGAGCCAGAGCGGGGAGCAGAGCAGGCAGAAAGACCGAAGTACACTGCTGAGGGGAGCAGCGGGCGGCAGGAGAGGTCTGCGCGCCATGTGGGACCCTCCTCCGGTGGCCGGGGAGCAGCCGGGGATCGAACCGGCACTGCAGAGGCCGCGCGCAGCTTCGCAGCCCAGCGCTCAACCACTGCGCCACTGGGGAGGCCCTCTAGATAACTTTTTAAAAGATTTAGTTATTTATGCATACAAGAACTGGGGTACAGGTAGAGGTGTAGAGGGTGAGAGGATTCACCTGAGACAGAGTGGGGAACAGAACAGGCAGATTGACTGAAATACACTGCTGAGGGGAGCAGTGGGCAAGTCAGGAGAGTCTGCTGCACCATGTGAGTAGCTCCCTGGCTGGGGATTGAACTTGTGCTGCAGTGGCTGCGGAGAGCTTCATAGGTTGTGTCTTAACCCTTTGCGCCACCAGGGAGGCCCCAAATCTAGATCACTTTTCAAAATGATTATACAGTTTCCATTTCCCACCAACAGTATAATGGGGTTCCTCTTTCTCTGCATTCTCACAGGCTCTCTTTAAATAACATCTAATTTGGTGATGACTACCAAATTTATGTCTCTAGTCCTGAACTCTCCCCTTATATCTGGATTTTATCTAGCTGACTGCTTGACCTTTCCACTTGGGTGTACTAAGTGAACATAACTTTGATCTCTCCCTCCTAATTAGTTTTTTTTTTTTAAAAGATTTATTTTTATTTTATTTTCTACAAGAACCGGGGTACAGGCCAGATGTGCTGGAGGGTGAGAGGATTCACCAGAGACAGAGTAGGAAACAGAACAGGCAGATTGACCCGAAATACACTGTTGAGGGAAGCAGCGGGTGAGACAGGAGAGGTCTGCCGTGCCATGTGGGTTGCCCTGCGGCTGGCGGGGATCAAACCGGCACTGCTAGGCTCAACCACCTGCACCACCAGGGAGACCCCTAATCAGTTTTATCTACCTAGTCTTCCTCACCTCAGTAAATGTCTTTACCATCCACCAGATCACATCAAATAAAAAATAAAGGACTTAAACTTGATTTCTCTTAATCCTGTACCTGTAGGTCCTTTTAATCCAACCCCCAAAATGTATTCTGAAGCCATCTTTATAAACCAAGCCATCTTGGTTTTTTGGTATGAACTCTTGGACAATTGCAATATCCCATTAATAGGTCTGCTTACACAATCTTGTTCCTCTAGAATCTTCACATAGCAGCCAAATGATACTGTAAAGATGTAAATCAGACCATATTCCATTCCTTTTAAAAACCCTTTCAGTGACTTTGCATGTAGTGACTTGCTTTATCCACTTTGGTCATAATTATTGGTGGTACCCCATTATGCTTCTACTTCAATATCTTTGTATATGTTTTATATAGGATTTTCTTCCCTCAGATATACACATGACTGATCATTACTACAACTTTGGGTCGTATTCCTCCCCTACTTCCCTGTCTCCTTTTCTTCCAGGTCTTCCCAGGCCTTCCTATCTAAAATATTGCCTCTCCCAGTCACTCTGACATCACTTCTTACATCTTTTCCTCCCCTATTACAATGTCTTCTAAGTTCTTGGCACTGTCAAATGATCTTTTTGTGGATGTTAATTTCTCCTTCATTAGAATATAAGCTCCAGGAGAATAGGTAAACTTGTCTGTTCACTGTTGTGCCCCAGTCAGTGCCTTCAGCAGTGTCAGGCACTGAGTGTGTCTCAATGAATATTGACTAAGTGAATGAATCCATTATAGATTGGAGATACCATAACATGTAACTGGTAATTAAGGTGATGAGAGTGGTTATGATTATGACTAGTGCTTTCTAGCTGTGTACTAGAATTAGGTAGAAAGGCTTGAACACAAGGATATCTGGGTTGCACTATAATGAAGTCTGAGACCTGGGCATTTTTTAAAGAAGAGTTGATTTTAAATGATTTTGGGAGATGATATGTAGAGAAAGAAGGGTCTAGGGCAGAACCCCAGTAAGTACTGATTTAAAGATAACACTAATTTAAAGATAACACTAGAGGATCCTGTACATACTGGGAATGACCAGTGATGTGTTTGGTGGAACCTGTAAGGGCGAGTGGGTTTTAAGGAGGGAGAAGCTAATGATATCAAGTGCTCAGGTCAGGCTAAGTCTTAAGGATAGAAAAAATTCATTATATCTAGCAATATTAGAGGTTGTAAATTATAATATTACAGGGACAAGGTGTTTCAGCCTGGGTACTACTGATGTTCGTTTGGACAAAATTTTGTGGCTCATGCATTGTAGGGTGTTTAGCAGCATCTCTGCCTTCTGCCACTAGATGCCAGTACAACCCCTCTGGTGTGACAAAAATGTCTCCTGCCAATACTAAATGTCGCTTGGGGGAGCAAACTCATCCTTGCTAAAAACCACAACCTTAGTAAAAACATTTTTGACAAAGAATTGAATTCTGACCCCAAACTGAAGTGGGATAATGAATTATAGGAATTGAAGAACTGGAGACAAGTACTGTGGGTAACTTTAAGAATCTTGAATGTGTAATATTGATTACAGTTACAATGAGGTAAGAAGAGGCATCTCAAAAAAGAGAAGGGTTTGTGGGAGGTTATTTTTAAGACAGGTGAGACTTGAGCATGTTTGTACACTACTTGGAAGGAAATGGAGATAATTGATGTTCAAATTCCTTGAAGGAATAGCATCCAAAATACTGATGGAGGATTTGCCTTACAAGAGGAGAATACTTCTTTCATTGTAATTGGAGGTAAGAATAGGTACAAATGCTGATAATAATAGAAACAACCATGTGTCAGGCACTGTTATAAGCTATCTATGTTGACTCATTTCTCAATTCTATGAGTCAAGGAGGTATAGGGAACATTTCACAGATGAGGTGAGTGATGTGAGTGATTTTGATTGCCATTAGTAAGGGGCTTTTCAGAGGGTACAATGAGGAACACAGGCAGTGAGAGGCTAAGCAACTTGCCCAACAAGATCATATCTTCATTAACTGGCAGAGCCAAGATTCTAACATCTGGCCTTAAGCCTATGCTCTCAAGTACTTTATGCAAGGATACCTATAGGTGAGGTGGCAGGAAGTTGAGATAATTCCATCTGATGGCTTCCTCTCCCTCACTCCCCCATCTGAGTAGGGAAGTGGAAGGGAGAATGTATTTTACTTTGGCTTTTCTCTGCTTGATGCAAAGAACTTGAACTCCCATTAAGTCACTCCAGTAAGATTGGAGAGTAACGGGGAATGGTAGGACTTTTTCCATCTCTGGTGATCACAGGTACATATGACAACACCAAAGAGAGAAAAAGAGAAAAGAAGTTCACATTTGAGTGCTTAGACTTTAGATTATTATTTCATCTTCATAGGAGCTCTCTGAAATAGTATGCATTATTCTCTTCATTTTCTAGGTGAGGAAACAGAGTTGGAAAGGCTAAGTTAACTCGCCCAGACTCAATGATGAAGTAAGTATGGACCCCAGGATTAGAATTTAAACTTGTCTGGTTCCGAAGTCAGGACTTTTCTTTTTGATGGGGGATGTAGCTTGTTAGGTGTGGCACATCCTATTGGCAAAGGGACACTGAAGCCTTCAGTAAAAATAAGAGAGAAGCTAAGGCAGTTTTGGAGTATAATAGAGTCTGCCAGGGTACGCCCCTGGTAGTAGGTAGAAAGCAGGTATGGGAGAAGAGACAGCACAGAGCATAGTGGATTACACCTAATTATTTCCTGATAATAAAGAAGGTGGCGGGGGAGAACCCAGGTTGGTGGTTCAGGAGTAGAGGGGAGTTAATAAGAAGAAATAGGCCAAGCTTTCCAGGATTTCCTTCTTAGCAATCCCCTCTGGAGAGAGGTTCAACTCTAGTTTTGTCATCAAATTCTGGGCATATACAAGGGCTTGATTTAGGAAAGCAGACTGGCCATGCAGAGCAGTTTTAATCCTGTCCTCTCTCATCATGAAAAGGATATGTAGCTGAGTAGAAGGAATACTCAGCCAGGAGTAAGGAGACCTGTCTTTCCGTACAACCTCTGATGAAAAGCACAGCAGTGTTAGGTAGAGTAGTATTTATTTGCAGGAGATAATTACAGATAGTTTTTTCGGTGGTACCTGAGAGGCAGCCCCAAGGAGAGAAAGGGGGCCAGGCCCATAGAACTGATCTATTTGGGGCTTTTAGAAAGCATCTGGAGTTGTTTCCTGATTGTTGGTACCCAGGGCCCTGTGGCTCGTGACTTGTGTTTTAGCGATTTAGAGAAACAGCATGGCAAGGCAGAGTTAAGGGAGAAGACAGATCCTTTCTGGGCAGTCAATTTTCTTTGTTGGTCTGCTATGGTGCTAGACTTTGTAATAAACAAGGGGTTCAGCTGTGCAAGCTTAAAGTCTTGGATATTTACGTCTTCTGGGTTCTCAGGCTCTTTCCGGAACCTGGTAGGCATTGTGTTCTTTTTGCTCTTAGGTTCCTCATATACAAAGAAAATCTTGTTCTTAAGCTTGTTTTGGACCCAGGGATCAATTGAGGTCAAAAGAATTAATGTTTCTTGTAGCTGCATTGAAAAAAAGGCCCCATGATTGACTTATTTGAGACTAAGGCTGGGAGGGGAGGGGCTTCCCAGGGAGGGAGAGTTTTGGCCACAGGCCGCTATGGACCGAGGAATGAACCTGGGAACCCCATCTGAAAGTTCATCCTCCTCCCTCCCAATAAAGAGCAAGTACTGAGGATGGGTGGGAGAGATGGAGGACAGTCTAGAGGAGGAGGTGGGCAGGAATGCCTTACACTCTTCTTCACAAGCTGATTCTTTTCCACGTCTAGCATGTCCAGGAGCAAGTGGAACATTTGTGAGCTGCGAATCCCCAGGGCACCCTGGCAGAATGAGAGTGCCCAAGTAGCCAGCCCTGGGTTGATGCCCTCTATATGCTCTTTTCTATCCTGTGATGACCCCCTGAGTGGGAGATATGACTTCTTTGCTGAGATACCCTTTTCTTGCTTCCTGGGACCATTGCATTGGGCCCTAGTACACATTATTCACCAGGAAGAGTTGAGACATTTTCTGTAATATTTAAGCAGTGTTTTCCATACTGAGTTCCTGTCCCTTATCCCATTTGGAAGAAAAGCTTGATAGGGCTAGAATTACAAAATCAACAAACAGCATCCCAAATCATTTTAGCCCTTTCTTCCCCCAGTAACTGCTCAGTTGCCTACTTTCCCTGCCTTCACCACATCTGGTCAGAGAAGCAGAGCTGGCCTTACCAATGAAATGACTGCTTCCAGGCGTGCGTTGGCATTTGAGTCCATCAGTTGCCTGCGTAGAAAGGAGTGAGTGTGTTGTCCAATTAAGGGGTAGCGGAGGAAGGCTGATTATGTCTTCATATAGCCCAGGATGATTTGAACATAATGCTGATGAATGATGTTAATTTCATTAATTTACCCCTCTTATTTCTTTGGTCAGGAAAGGGGCTGGGAGGAGGAAGGTGGTACTAGAGTTTGCCACAAGGCACTGTGGGACATGAATAAGACTCACATCTGTTCAAAACTACCTTTTACAAGTTCCTTTCACATCCTCATCTAAAATACAGCTTTCTAGCAACTCTAAGTGGTAGGTGTCATCAGCCCCTTTTAATAGAGGAAGAAACCCCAAGGGCCAAGGAGTTACTTGGCCAGGGACATGGGCAGTGAGAGCCATGAACTGGCAGCAGGCTCTCAGCTTGCACCAACCCCTCTCCCCCTTCCCACAGCCTAGGATCTAGCCCTGGCAGCTCCCAGTTCAAGCCACTCACGCCTCCACTAAGTTGAGCAACATCGGCTTCATCTTGAGCTCGTCCACAGTTTCCGCCACAGCCTGCCTTATAGCCTGAAGAGGGACCAAGTAGACAACAGAGAGGACTACAGGGGTGTGCCCTTAGGTCTTTACAAGCCAGTATTGAATGTTTGTACTGCGTATGATCTGTGCCGTGAGAGCTCATGGGCTGGTGGGGGAAGCAGACAAGTGAAAAAGGCAGCTGTATGCCTATAAGTGTCATAACTGAACTAAGTGTAGGGTGCGCATAGGAGGGTCTCCTGACTCAGTCCGGGTGCCAGCAAGATTTTGGGGGAAGATAATGCCTCAGCTGAAACTTGAAGGGTGAGTCAGTGTTAACCAGACAGAAGGATGGGGAGGGCTGATTTTCTAGTCTGAGAGGAGAGCAAGCACAAAAGCCTGGAGACAGTATTGGGCACAGAGGGGTTAGGAAACAGAAATATTCTGTTTTTAGCTAGTGGGGCGTTGTGACTAATTATACTGGAACAACAGGTATAAATCAGGACAGGTTTGTCCTAAACATAATAGGTGCGTGGCTCTCGGGGAGAGCAGGGAGAGATGGAGCTAGAGAGGTGAGCAGGCCTAGGGTGGTGAAGGGCAATGTAAGCCATCCTGGGGATGTTGGAGAACTATTGGAACGTTTTATGTAGAGGTGAAACAATCTGATTTACACTTCAGAAAATATCAAGTTCTGTGATTGGTCTTGTAATAAGCTATAATAAAGATAAAAGCAAGGGAACACAAGAAAGCCAGGCTGATTCTGTTTTGGTGATTTGGGAATGCTTCCCATAGGAGGTGTTGTTTAGATTGGTCTTGGAGGAGCAGTTGTACTTTAATAGGCAGGAGGGAAGAGTTGCCAGTGCCAGTAAATAGTACGAGAATTTTTTTCAGCTCGTAGAGGAGGGAGGGATGACTGGGACATTATAAGCTGAGAGAACTACTCGAGCAAAAGCAAGGGATTTGAAAACATGGGTTGCGTTAGAGGAACAGGGAGTGGGTTAGGGTGAATGTGATACCTCGGGGCCCAGTATGGTGGGAACCAAGGCAGGGGATGGCTTCAGAGGAGGGAGAAGAGACATGTTTAGGCTACCTGGGCTTCACAGCTTTAGCCTCACTTACCAGGAAGGGTTCATTATATATCCTCTTCCTGAGCAGATCAAAGGTGACTACTTCTAGCCCCTGTGCCTGGATCTGCTCCAGTCCAATGGTCCTGAGCATCTGGGTGGCTTCAAAGCGGTGCTGAGGGCAGGCGTGGGGGAGGCATGAAAGGTAGACTTACTTCCTCATCTCCCACCCTGTTCTGCTCCCACCCTGTCCTGCTTCTGGCAGGAGACTAGGCAGTCCTAGGACTTACCTCAAGTACTCTGGAATAGCACAACTGGTCTAGGATGGCCCTGATGACTATGGCTGAGTGCACATGCATCATCTTGACTAGCATCCTAAGTGCCTGTGGGGGCAGGTAGGGTGTGGTGGGGTGTTCAGGTCTGAGAGGCATCTGGATGGCCAGGCCAACTTGAGGACTGAGGCTAGAGCTTGTGGGGAACTTTCTCCTTGGCCTCTTAAGTGAGAGCCCAAGTTCACGTGTGCACATATGTGCGCACACATAGATGAACACCAATACAAATCAAATACACACAGACGTGTACACTTATAGGCCCCTGTATTCATGCATATACATATTCACAAACAGAGGACCCTGCAGTGCTCCCTAATGAAGCTCTTTTTCTCTGGGGTAAGGATGACTGGGTTCAGACCCCACTAAAGTCAGCACTTGTCTTTTTCCCTGTGGCTCTGCAGGGAACCCAGCCTCCTCTCCCTCTCACCTTCATTCGCTGCGTCTTGGGCTCTTGGCATAGGCACTGCAGCAAGAGCTCTTGAGCCATGTTGCTGCAGGGCCTCAGGAAACCCAGGCACAGGGCTGCCTCCACGGCTGCTTCATTCAGTGACTTCTTAATCAGCATCTGCAGCACAGTCACTAACTTCCCTTCATCCCCAACTTGAATCTTCTGAGAGGGACACAGGAGATGAAATGGGTAGTGGGAGTGGTGGTGGTAGAATTATGTCTTTAGCTAGGTTCCAAAGGCCATTATTTTGATTGCTTTTAGAGCTCCCTCCTCCCTAAGATGAATCTCTGGTCATCAGATTATTTCACTTGGTTCTCCTCATCTCTTTGCTCCTAGGTCATGTCCCGTCATTTCTCTGCATTTATCTTATGGACAAATCACTGTTACTCTCTTAAACACTTCTGCTAACATTGCAAAAACATAGATATGTCATTGATCTACCCCGCTCCTCCAATAACCTGTCCTCCACTCTGCTAGCCACTTATTTCAAGAGAGACACTTTATCATTACTCATAATTGCAACTTCCCCATCATCTCCATTTCAAGGATCCAACTCATCACCTTCTAGCTCACTTCCTGATGCCAACAATTATTGGAATCCACAGTTGGTAGTCCACAGGACAAACAATCCATTGAGCACCTTTTTACTGTCCTCATCCTCTTCTTTATATCCAGTTTATATCCCACGGTCCTGCTATAATTCCTTCCCTGCCTCATGCAACTTTTTTACCCCTTCTCTTGCATCATTGTACTCTATTCTACACTTTCTGGAGGAAAACACATGATGGCTGATCTTGCTTAGTCTATGAACACAAACTTCATGTAGACTCTTCATGATGTCTTTCCCTGGGTAGTTCTCCCACTCTCCTAATTCACATCCTCTCTCTCTGGAAGCTCTAACTCTTCTACCATTCTCATTCTCAGCTAATGACTGTGCTTTCTACTTCAGTGAGCAAATAAAAGCAACTAGAAACGAAGTTCCAGAGACCTATCTCCATTTCTATCCAGCTTTTAACACTTGCATCCCTGTGTTCTTCCTTTCTACTTGTTATTGTGGACTATGACCATCTCTCTAAAGTCTGTCTCTCCATTTGTGTGTTAGTCTCACCCCCTCTCACCTACTCAAGGACATTGCTGCACAACTTTTCCCAGTGTCTTCAAAATTATTTTTCTATCAAGTGGATCATTATCCCTCAGCATAGAAACACGCTGCTATTTTTCTTTTTTCTAGAATACATAGCTGGTGCCAACTATAACCCTTTCCAGGAAAACTTTGATACAGTGGATTTCTCTTCTTTCCTCGATACAAGTTTCTTTACTTGATTTTCAGAATACCACACTCTTGGTTGTCTTCCTCCCTACTGGCTACTCTCAGTATTTACTGGTTCTCCCTTCTCTTCCTGACTTGTTAACATTGGGGTGTCCCAAGGCTTGATTCTTAGTTCTTAGTCATTTTCTCTAGCTAAATGACATTAAATGGTATTTACATGCTGACAGCTTATAAATTTTCTTTCTCTAGTTCAGATTTCTAGACTACAAATTATATAACCATCTACTTGCTGACTCCTTTGGAGTTCCAATAGACATCTCAAACATAACTTGTCCAAAACTGGACTTCCGATGTTACTTCCAAACTCGTTCTATCTACAGCTTTCTTCATCTTCATTGATGAGTACGATGTAAACACTACAAGAGCAGAAATCTTTCCCTGCTTGGTTCACTGATATATTCTAAGAACCTAGGATAAACATCATGTGTGATATTTATATTTGTTGAATAAGTGGATGAATGGTGGATTTTCTTTCACATAGAACAGTGATGGGATCAAAGCAAGAAGACCCTAAAGGGGAAAAAAGCCTAGTGCCTATCCCCTCTTGACAGAAGTTTATTTTAGGGATGGTAATTATAATGATGGTTAATCCTTTAAAGACCACAGGCATTGATCAAGGTCCTTTACATCTTATTTAATTTTCTCAACAATGCTATGAGATTATTACTCATAGCGATTTATCCATGTCTAAGACACATGGATAAATTGGATAAATGATAAATCTGTCCTAGAGATGGATAAATTGTGTGTCTAAAAGCTGACTTTTCAGAGGTTGTGTGTCTAGTGAGTGGCTACACCATAGGCTTCTATTTAGGAAAGTTAATCCATAGGGAACTCTACAAGGATAATGGCTTCCCCCATAAAAGCTGGAACCTTGGCTACCTTGTCCCTGACCTAAACCTCAGCCAAAACTGTCACTGACCTTGTCTTACTTTGCCCCAATTACTATCTTCCCATTCACCTTATCTTTGGAGACAGTAGACCAGATGTTCAGAGCCTGTCGTAGCCCTTTCAGAGTGTCCAGTCTTTGCTCCTCATTTCCCCCCTTGAGCTGCTGGATGAGAACCTGGATCACGTGCTTATTCAGGCAGCCTGGGCAGGGAGAGTCCTCAGGTGGGACAAAGCCTCAGGGGCTGCTCCCTCTGCCAGGATCCATTTGACTCCACTGTGCCCAGAAGTGGAATTCCAAGTATTAGGTCCATAGGTATTGCCTTCCTCCCAGGGCACGAGAGCAACTCGCTGAGCATAACCACAAGCCCAAGAGCCCTTCCTCTCCCTCTCCCACCTCTGCTTCCTTTTCACTCCACTTTCTCCACTGCCCAACAGTACCTGGAATAGTTCCCAGCAACACCCAGCTGGAGAGGTGCTCCACTCCCTTTTGTCCTTATCCGAAAGGGAAAGTGACTGCTCTTTCTCCTTTCTCTCTTCTCCCTACTCCCCACCCAGGGAGGTGACTACTCACCCAGGATGGCCAGGGTTCGACAGGCCTCATACTTCACTTTCTCTGGACCAGTTTGGGCCTGATTTAAGAGGCAGGTGGTAGAAGCATGCCATAGCGTAAATGTCAGAGCTTTAAGAATGATCTCAGCATAACTTTTCATTTTACGGATGAGGAAACTGAAGCATAGAGCCCCTGTGTGTGCTTCAATGCAGAGTTCACGTGGGATGGTGCAATGGGAAGACAGCTTAGGAGTCAGACTTTTTTTCAGATCCCTCTCTCTTCTCTAATAGCTACATGGCCTTGGACAAGTCACTTGACTTCCCAGAGTTTCCATTTTCTCATGAGGAAACTGCAGATAGTACTACCTATTCCTAGCATTGTAAGATTTAAATGAAATTATAGATAAGAATGCATGCTCCCAACATAACTGGCGTATATATTATACATTGATTCAGTTAAATTAGAAATGAATACAGTCCCTGGTTTTTCAGTCCAGTGTTTTCCTCCTTCCTCATCTTTTGAATCAAGGCACCCTTTGAAGGAGCCAAGGGCCTGAGATGGGGGTTCTCTCCTCACTAGCTCTGCATGGTCCTTGCACCCCAGTGAACCTTGCCAGTGCCCATGTGCCCATGCTCTATACAACTCAGACCCTGTTTCTCCTCTCCTGAACTTCAGGCTGCCCCATACTCACCACTTTCCCTAGTGCCTCCATGACACACTTGTCACTGATGCCCAGACGCCCCAGAGCCTGCAGGAACAGATGTAGAGAAAGGAAGGGAAAGAGACATTGAATACCACCCTCAGGAGTCACTATCCTCTAGATGCAGCTAGAGTTTGGTCTTGGAATACCACATACCCCACCTGCACTTCAAGCATCTTTTTACCCTCCAGCTCAGCCAACTCCTACCTGTGCCCAAGCTGCAACCTTTCCACTCCTCACCTGTGCTGCATAGCACTGCTCATCCTCTCTGGGAGAATTCAGTTTTTTTGCGAGTTCCTGCCCATTCAAGATAGCCAATAGAAAGAAAGCAAGGGATAAATATAGTTGTAGAGGTTCAAACTGAAAGGAGCTCATCCAATCCAATCCTTTTCTTCCTCTTCTCCCATTTTGTAGGCAGGGATTGAGGGCTGAAAGGTGGTAGGAGCCCAAGGTAAGGGTCCACATAGGGAGGAAATCTCCCTATTCTTCCTCCCACCATGGTCCCTGACCTTTAATCTTTGCCACTTCAGGGAGTCTCCAGTAGGGTCCAAGGGCTTGGGTCCCATCTGCGGTTTTATAGCCAACTTGTTTATGGGGAGGTAGAATGGGGAAGAGATGGGGGAATCCTCTTTGGAGTATCTGTGTGAGAAATCAGAAATTATGCAGGCAGCCTTGGTCCCCTTATTCCATCCCTCCTTATGCTGTGAACTATCCTCTGCCTCTGGCCCTCAGCCCAGCTTAGTGATGGGACCAGAGGAAAACAGATGAGGGCTCAGTGATAGCCATACTCACTGCGCTGCCTTCAACTCCAGGGTCCACTCTGGAGTCTTTAGACTGACATATCCCACTCCCTGCCCGACTCCATCCTTCTTCCTTTCTTTCCTAGAAGACCTGGAGGGTATGGCAATTAGGGCGGGGCAAAGCATACCTAAAGTGATCTCTCATTTTTCGCAACATCTTCTGAGACTCCCGTTCCTGTTCCCATCGTGGATCATACAGGGTGTGCCAGTGTGTGTAGATCTCTGGTTTATTGTGGTAGCAGTAAGGAACTGAGTTTGACTTGTTTGGGTGTGGCCTCCAGCACTCTGGTTTTGGAGGAAACTCTTCTGTTGGCACCTGTGGGGTATGAGTGGCAGAGCAGTCATGAAATATTCCTTAGCTGGGAAAAGGGCCGGGGTGGGAGGGAACAGGTAAGACATGTGTCCTTCAGCCTCTCACCTGGGTTAGAGTCACAACAACCCACTGTGTGACTTGGGCACATAACCCACTGTGTGACTTGGGCAAGTTATGTCACCCCACCAAGAGGGAGCTAAATAACCTTGTTCTGTACCCTCCCAAGGTGGTTATGAAGAGCAAATGAGTTATAGATTGTGAAGCCATTGGTGATCTGTAAATTGATCTGAGTGCCTTTTGGTTTGTTGAGGATCTCCAAGCACTTTGAAATGGTCATCTGGGCGAGGAGCTGAAAAGGTTAGTGAGATGTGAAATAAGAGGGGAAAGTGACTTGTCCAAGGCCACATTCATCCAGGAATTCAGTAACAATTTAATGAGCACTTACTATGAGCCAAGCACTACACTAGGCATTGAGGATGCAGTTACTACCCCTGACCTCATGGAACTTAACACTTTAGTTGGAAAGAGAGACTTTCTCCAAATGACCTATCTCTTAAATAATTGTGAAACTGTAACTCTCATTATAGTGGAGATATATTGATATATCTCCTGATACATGTTTTGAGTGGGTCAGAGGCTTTCTCTGAGGATATGACTGGGATTCATCTTCTCAAGCCTTCCTGTCTTTACAACAGATCTCTCTGAGCAACAAGAAAGGGGGGCTTCAGACAGTGATTCCAAATTTGGTGACTGAGAAAATCATTGTAAGAGTCTTCAGGTAACTGTCATGATTTCAGAGATCAGAGCATTGACTCACAATGAGTGAGGAGGTCAGAGTTAGTAAAAACACACAAATGAAAAGTAGGACATCCAGTATATTTGTATTTCAGGTGATGAATGTAATATTTGAGACATTTATACTAAAAAGTTATTGTTTACCTGAAATTCAAATTTAATTGGGCATCTGTATTTTATCTGACAATTCTGAGGATCCCTATGTTAATTAATAAAAAAATTTTAAAAAAAGATTTATTTATTTATTTATTTATTTATTTAATTTATACAAGCACTGGGTACAGTCAGAAGTGCAGGGAGGGTGAGAGAATTCACCAGAGCCAGAGCGGGGAACAGAGCAGGCAGACTGAAGTACACTGCTGAGGGGAGCAGCGGGCGGCAGGAGAGGTCTGCGCACCATGTGGGACCCTCCTCCTGTGGCCGGGGAGCAGCTGGGGATCAAACCGGTGCTGCAGAGGCTGCGGGCAGCTTCGCAACGCAGCGCTCAACCGCTGCGCCACCGGGGAGGCCCTAATAAAAAATTTTAAGCACTGCCTGCATATCCCAGACCTTACAGATATTATCATATGGCATCTTTACAAAGAGACTTGGGCAGGGTTGGCCTATGACGGAGGAAGCTCCCAAGACTCAGAGAGGGGAAAGTGACTTGTCCAATGTCACAGAATTAGTGGCAGCCCCAGGTGGTGAGTGTCAGTGTTCTGAGAGTTGATCTTAATGGGCTAAGAAAATGCCTATTTCAACAAAGCTCCCAGGGTGACAAAAGTTAGTGATCTTACCTTGTAGGAGGACTGGGGCAGGTGCATAGGAGTCATGACTTTTTTGAATTCTGTTGTATAAATGAGACAGCAGTTGCAAAGTTGAGTTGAAGAATCTTCCATTCAGGTACTCATTTATTCCACATTTAGTGAACACTAGTACCAGACACCAGGGAGGTAAATAAAACATAATTCCTGTCCTTAAGAGGCTAACTGTTTTCTGGTAGCTTGCTGCTCAAAATGTGGTCTGTGGAACAGTAACATTGCCGTAGTCTCAAAGCTTCTCGGAAATGCATATCTCAGGCCCCGCCCTGGAGCTACCAGGGTCTTCATTTAACAAGATTCCTCATACTGAAGTTTGAGAAACACTGGCCTAGCAGAGTTGCCTTGAGAACTGCATTTTAGAATTATTTGGCGGAGGGGGGAATGACTCAATAACTTGGGGGGAAGTCTAATATACATCAGACTAATGGAATCAGATTCTCTGGGGACAGGGCCAAGATTTTTTAGAAAGCTCCTAAGAGGATTCTAATGTGCAGCTTATAATAAAGACCACTGGTCTCATTCAGTGGTTCTGAAACTTGAGTGTGCACTGTAATCACCTGGAGAGCTTGTTAAAACACATTTCTGGACAGATACCCAGAGAATTGATTCAGTAAATCTGTGGTGGGGTCTGAAAATTTGCATTTCTAATAAACTACTGATGCTGCTGGTCCTAGGACCACACTTTTTAGAACCACAAAATTGTTTATTAGTGATTAGCAAAGGGAAATAAATGTGAAGGCAAATAGTGGCCTAGATGGTACAAGTGAGGGCTCTCTAGCTGGCTGGGTGGATCAGGGAAAGCTTCCCGGAGGTGGTACTATACAAACTGAGTCTTCACTCCATGTAGGAGTCAGCTGGATAGATAAGGGGGAGAACCACTGGAGACAGGGAATAGCTTATGCAGAGTGGGAGGTGTGCCAGTTGGGCTAGAAAGACAGGTACAGATAAGGGAGCAGCAGCAGGGAGACGTGCCTATGTCCCACCTTAGACGCTGCTGGAGACTTACCTTGAAGGCCATGGGGAGCCATTGAAGTGTCCAAAAACCTGCCCAGACCCTTCTCATGGTTTTTCTGAACTCACCCAGACCCTGTGAGAACCCTGTAGTTTTCCTTTGCAACTGCAGTTGCCCCTGACTCCTTTCCTGTCCAGTCCAGCCTCACCTTGGCTCCTTTTTGGATATTTCAGCCATGGGTAGTTGACCATTGACCTGTAGATGTCAATGACATTGGCTAGGTTATCACAGGCCATCCTTCTTTTCTTCTCCTGGAAGGACTGTAGGAAACCTGAGTGGGGGAGAATATAGGGCTGTTGGAGTGGAAGAACAGCTCGGTTGGCCCGTCTGTGGATAAGAGTGACCAGTGAGAGATCTGGGCTTCTACAGGTAGAAGCTTGCAAGCCCTGAGCAACCAGATCTCCTAGGTAAATAGAATACTCCAGCGGCATTCTTGCCCCCGCCCTGGCATCTAGTGACTTGTGATCTTTACCTCTGTGAGCTTCAGTCTCCTCAGGTGGCAAGTGAGATGCATTTGTCAGAGGGGCTGTGGTGAGGCATAAATTAAAAAGTCAAAGAATTTGGTAATGTTTGTGGAAGGAGTTGTTCTTAGGATTAGTCATCAGAAAAGTGGCGGGGATGGGAAAGCCTCTTGCCTTGGTGACAAGAGACTGAACTCTTCCTTGTGTGGTAAGGAACTGTCCTCAGACTTCCTCCTTTTGCATGTTATTTCACTTTACCCATCAAGGCTTTACTTCCCTTTTACCTGTTAAACAGCTTCTCAAATGGATTAGTGCCTGACACACAGCTGCCACTCACTGTGACAGGAAAACATGGCCACTGAGTCATCAGACTTAACAGGCCCCGTGAATGAACATCAGTGCCCTGAGGTCCTCTGCACTGGGAAAGACATTGCCAGCCATGTGCTAATCCTGCCCAACCGATTTAAACTGAATCTATTATGAGGAACAATCAGGCAAATTAAATTAGGAAACTTTCTGCAAAAAATCTGAGTTGAGCTCTTAAAAGATATCAATGTATTTAAAGAAAAAAATAAGTTAAAGGACACCAAAAAACAAAATGTACAAATCAGTTAAATTCAATATGTACTGTACTTTGGGACCTGGATTAAAGAAAAAGCTAAACAGGACATTACTGCGACACTTGTAGGGATTTGATTATTTTATGTTAGAAAATAATACTGGTCAATTAATTTTCCTAAGTGTGCTGCTTGTTTTGTGGTTATGTAGAGTTCTTGTTATTAGGAGTTATATACTGAGGCCTTTGGGGGTGAAGTGATATCACATCTGCATCATACTCTCAAATTCAGAAAAAAAATGTGAAAAAAAACCACACACTCTAGTCAAGGGTGATCAAATGTTAATATTTGAATCTAGATGAAGGGTATATATGTGTATTCTTATGAATTTTGGGAGGTTTAAAATTTTGCATATTAAAGATGGGTGGGGGAAAGTGTGGGTGTTAGAGCTTGTGGATTTAAATCTTAATTGTCAACTGCTATCCCACCTTTTTTTTTTTTTTTTTTTTTTTTTTTTGGTGCTGTGGGACCTTGGGCAAGTTCTTTTCCTCTCTTGCAAAGGTTTTTCCAACTGTATATAGCGATAGTAAGTCAGGGTTTTGAGGATGAAGGGCAGGTGCATGTGCAGGGCTGACTGCCTGCCCCTGAGTGTGTGCAGTCAATGCTGGCTGTGATCAGGGTGACATACACCGCCAGGCTCCTTCTGTGGAGGGACACTTGGATGGGAGAGTCAGAATACTCCCACCCTAAAGGTTCTGGTGCAGTCACAGAAAACAAAAAGAATACTTCATTCTCTATCTGAAAGAATCGAGGCTTTTGGAATTGTTCTTAAATCCTGGTCCCAAGTGTTAAAGAAATCCCCCTGGGGATAAGGTGTACAGTAGGCCAGGGTTGAAGGGGAGCTGAGTGGGTGGAAGGGCCAACCAACTCTAAGGAATCAGGGAGGCTGGGAGTGAGATTAACTCTTAGGGACTTGGGGGTGGGGCCGAAGTGACTGCTGTTTCCCCAGAGTGGATAAGTTACCAGTCGCCTTAGCTGCTCTGTCCTGCCCATGCTCTGAATTTGTCTTCCTAGCCCTGCTCACTGGGCAGAGCCAGGGCCCCCAAATCTAGGGTGGATGTCAGATATGTGCAACCCCTGTGTTCATGAGGAAGGAGGGTTCTTGAGGAAATCAAACCAGGAGCCAGCTTTGTAATTGCATGGAGAATTTTAATGGAAAGCTGATTTCTCACACTTCCAGTCAGCTGATTTCTCACACTTCCCTTCCTAGTGAGTTTTGGCCATGGACTTTGCTGTAGGAGCCCAGTCTTCTTCCCTTCTTCCCTTCTCCAGGCGTGCTGACTTCCATCCTGAGCGCAGGGTCATGGTCAAGCAAAGGGCCTGAAGCTCAGAACCCAGAGACTCTTTGTGCACAAGGCAGAGCCTCAGGAGCTCTTGGAGGCCTTATACGTGGGGAGCTTTTATAACTGCTGCTGTGTGGTGGGATCTGTACTCTCTAAGGAGGGTGTGGGAGTGGGAGCATGCTCACCAAGCTCATTAGGACAAGAGGAAGAAGTAATAGGAAAGCTTGGACAATTTCAGGTTCAAGGTGTCCTCCCTCTAGCTCATCTCCAAAATGTTGATGTAATCCTTCACCCATGAACTATCTGGGTTGGCACACACCTGGCGCTTCTTTCGGGTAACAAAGCTGTAGGAGAAGAGAAGAGAAGGGTGAGAGCTTGTCAGTGCTGGCACACACAATTTTGGTTGTGATGAGCTAAGGAGTAAGGGGAAGTGATGGTGGTACTGGCTGGTCCATTTTTGGAGCTCCATAAGATTGTATTTATGCCTTTCAATGAAAGGACATTTCCTCTTTTTTTTTGGGTCAACAGATTCCAGAAGCAGATTTGTGCGCACACAAGCAGACTGGAGAGCTAAGGAGCTGCAAACCCACTGGAACCCAGGGCTAAGCTGGTCTACCTCTAGCCTTTTCTCTGCACTTCCTCTGTTTCACACCCTGTCCTGGGTGTTCAAGGTGAGAAAAACAGGAGGCAAGAAGTGGTAAAACAAGCAAATATGATTTGACTTTAGACAATACAGTACTTGGTACAGGGTGGACATGAATACATTGATGCATGTGTGGGTGAATGAAAAGGCTTGAGTCTTGATCTCACTACTTACTGGTTGGATCACCTTGTGCAAATCACACAGTACCTCTGAGTCTTTGCTTACCTTTAAGATGTGAATACAAATAATTTTTTTCTTTGCACAACTGTTGTGAAGCTCAAATGAGATAGTGTGTGTGAAGGTATTTTGAAAAATATGATATACATGTTGTTATTATTGGAATGCTGTAGGGCCTCTTCTTTAGGGTGGATCAGGGCAACATGAGACTAAAGATCTTGGTACCAAACACTGTGGTTCAGAGAGGCTGAGGGCTCTGAGATGCTGGTAGTGCCAATGCTGGCTACCAATTACCCAGCTGGAATCTGGGGGGACTGTGAAAGTGAGAAGCCTTAGCACTTTAGGTACTGATGGTATAAGTTGAAGGTGCAAAGGACTGGGGGCTCACAGGCTCAGTCCAGCTGTCTGCTTCACCAGTGTGCCGGGAGGCTGGTTCTATGTGGGAGAGACTTCGGCCTGGAGAGCAGTGCTGCCTGTGAACGTGTTACTTCTGGCAAGCTTGATCTACTTGGACCTTCCTCATTTTGGTTTCCACTTAAACATGTTTCCCTGCACCTTTTTGAGCCCAACTGTTTTCAGACAAAGTGAAGTGTAAATTGTCTGGTTTTGGGTCTCCCCGGTGGCACAAGGGGTTAAGACGCAACCTATGAAGCTGTCCACAACCACTGCAGCATGAGTTAGATCCCCAGCCAGGGAGCTACCCACATGGTGCAGCAGACCTCTCCTGACTTGCCTGCTGCTCCCCTCAGCAGTGTACTTCAGTCAGTCTGCCTGTATTGTTCCTTGCTCTGTCTCTGGTGAATCCTCTCACCTCCCACACCTCTGGCCTGTACCCCAGTTCTTGTATGCATAAATAAATCTTTAAAAAAAAAAAAGAATGAGGGTTTCATAGTTGCTTTTCAGGCCTTGTCATGGGTAAGGCTTGCTCTCAGGGAAGCCGCTTCCCCCTTTCAGAGCCACTTGACAGTCTCTCTCTCTCCCACGCGGGTGTGCAGAGAAGAGACAGGGAGCAGCGGGGTATCAAGAGAGTGCATCCTAGTGTTTGCTTTATTATGAGGGCTCTTCAGACCCAGACTCTGTCCCTGTCCAGCCAGGGGCCTTACAGGAAATGCTTCCAAACTCAGTATCCCCCTTTGACCTGTGGCCAGGAAGTCAAAAGGCCAGGAAACCAACATCTGGGGTGCTTGGGCCTCCTTCACCTCCTCCTCCTGCAGACTGTGATACTGCAGAATAGCCCCACCTCACCAAGCCTCTCTCTGCCCTCGTTTTGGGGACCCTCTACTTTCCTGACTCCCCTCCTGCCTCTTTTTCTGTTCAGTTTTGTTGGGGCCCTCCACTTTCACCTGTCTTCCTTCCCAAGTTTTTGGCCCTGGGTCTGGCACACAGTGGGTGCTTAATGGGTATGCATTGAACAGATTAGTAAATGAATGGGTTCATTTACTAGTCAAGTTTTACTTGTTACTTCTATGGATATAATAATAAACTTAGAGGAGGAGGGGGATGGTAAGTTAACACTTACCAGATCCTTACTATGTGCCAGGAAATTTCTAGTTTTATCTTTCATGTTATTCTCATTTTGACCCAGTAAGGAAAGGACTTCTCTTTTACTCCACTTATCTTTTACTCTGAGACTCAGGGGTTAAATGGTGGGGCCCAAGTTCCTGAAACTATGAATTGGCAGAGCTGGGATTCTATGGAAGGCCTACTGGCTCTGAAGCCAGGGCTCATCTGAACAATGCTATGGTTGTACTGGGAGACCCTTCCCTTCTGTAAAAGAATGTTATATTTGGGCCTCTCCGGTGGTGCAGCGGTTGAGCGCTGGGTTGCGAAGCTGCCCGCAGCCTCTGCAGTGCTGGTTCGATCCCCGCACCCACCCCCCCTGCTCCCCGCCAGCCACCGGGGGAGGGTCCCGCATGGCGCACCGCCCGCTGCTCCCCTCAGCAGTGTACTTTGGTCCTTCTGCCTGCTCTGCTCCCTGCTCTGGTTCTGGTGAGTTCTCTCACCCTCCCGCACTTCTGACTGTGCCCAGTGCTTGTATAAATAAATAAATAAATAAATAAATAAATAAATAAATAAATAAATAAATCTTAAAAAAAAAAAGAATTATATTTCTAGCCCCAAAACCCTTTCCTCAGCTACCAACCCTTCTTCTCACACTGCCTGTTGGACATTACCAGAGTTGTCCTGCTGGCATGTTGGCCTCTTTAACCAGTTCCTCCCTGAGGCATCACGGGGCTGCACACTTCACCAGCCATCCCTGCAATTGTCACCCTCTACCCTTCTCTCTTCCTTGCTCCTGACCTCAAATCACTTGCCAGGGCTTGTCAGGTCCACCTCTGAAGGTTTCTCACCCCTGCCTCTCCTTCTCTGCCCTTCAAGTTCTGTTCAGCCTTCAATACCATGCACATGGGTAACAGACTCTTAACAGGACTCCTATCTTCTAGGTTTTTTCTGCTTCTGCCCATTTCACACTTGACAGCTATAACATTTTGCTCTGCTGTGCTGATCGTCAAGGTCCTCAGTGGTCCTGGCCACATTCCCTCTGCCTGATACACCCAGCCCCTCCAGCTTTCCTCTACCAGACCCAATCCCCCTCCAAGGAGCCTTGCACAGAACACCTCCCCTACATCCCTTCACCTACCCCTGAAGTTGGGTGTGTTCCCTCTCTCATAACTTTCATATGAGGGTATTCTAATCATTGCAGCATCTGTCTTATCTGTTTGTTAGACTATGAGTTCCCCCAAGGGCAGGACTGGCGGATTATTAATCTTTGCTCCATAATATAGATGCTCAAAGAAGGAATTTTTTATTTTGAAAAATATTTGTTTTCAGAAATTAGTAGTGCTGCCTATTACCACTACACTTCGAAGTTTCATCAGAATGAAAGGCCACTCAACACCTCTAACTTTGCCAGTATCACAGGAAATTTTTTTTTTTAAAGATTTATTTATCCATGCATACATGAACTGGGGTACAGGCCAGAGGTGCGGGAGGGTGAGAGGATTCACCAAAGACAGAGTGGGGTACAGAACAGGCAGATTGACTGAAAACACTGCTGAGGGGAGCAGCGGGTGACACAGGAGAGGTCTGCTGCACCATGTGGGTAGCTCCCTGGCTGGCCGGGGATTGAACTCATGCTGCAGAGGCTGCAGACAGCCTCATAGTGCTGTTCTTAACCCTTTGCACCACCAGGGAGGCCCATCACAGGAAATTTTGGATTAAAAAACTTTGCCATTGTATACAAAACTTCATGATTGGCCCGTTTTCATCCTTTAAGTCCCTGTGATTTTTAAATTACTTAAGCAACTATCACTGTTGACCTCAGTGTAGTAAATAGGGAAGGCCTCAGACACTGGCTCCCTCCCTCCCTTATAGTGCAATCTTGAGAAAGTCCCCAAACCTCTCCGGGTCCCAGTTTCATTACTGAAACATGAAGAAAATTATGTATGCCTGTCAGGGATGTTGTAATGAAATTTAGAGATAATTCTTGTAAGGCATTTGACACACAGTAGACCCTTTCAAGGTAATAGGGAATATTATATTTTTTCAAATGTCTTGGCTTGCATATTTAAAGGAGAATCCACTTTATTATTTCTTCACTAATTGATAAAGTTTTTTTTTCTTTAAAGCACTCGAGAGCAACAAGGGCCCTGGCCTCTGGCCCTTCCTCCCTAGTTCCTCTGAGGTTGTAGGTAGATTTGTTTCAGAGGGAAGTATGGGGGACTTGGGGTTCATGACCAGACAGGGATAACTGAGCTTGTCTTCTCTGTTCAGGGGCATCACAGACACATTCAAGTAACAATCACATCTGTATCAATCAACACCTAGCCTATCAGATTGGGGAGGGGCCTTCAAGAACTTTGTAATCATTTGCATGATATCTGGGGCATCCGAAGCTAGAGAGGGAGGAGCCATGGCTACCTGAGCAGTTGGAGGGTGGCTAGGAGTAGAGTGGATGCTCTCTCAGAAGGTTTCTAGCAGGACTGATTCTGGGACAAAAGATGTCCTTTCCTCACCCCCACCCCCAGGGTTCCACAGGACTAAGACTCACACAACCGCTGGCATGGAGCACTTGCTGCTGGTGTAGAAATACTCCTGGATGTGGTTACGGGGCAGTACACGGTTGATGTAGCCAAAGCAGCAGGGTGTGGTGTCCGAGGCAACTAGGAGGAAAAAGGAAGGAGACCCCTGTATTCATTGCCGGTGCATTGTGGTGGGTGCTTAATAGGATCTATTCTGAATAAACTACCCTCCATTGACTGAAACTGAAGCTCAGAGAGGTAGTCACTTGGCCATGGATAACGCAGTGGCAGAGTGGGAGAGTTCTCCCTTACCCCTTATCAAATCCTTGAGCCCAGCTGGCATCTATACCCTCTGCACCATAACTTCATGGCATTGGCTTTTAGAATATGCTGGGCTTCCTCCTGGCTTCTCTGGGTCTTCTGCCCTTATTCTTGTCCTCTTAGGCTCTTTAGTGATTCACAATTTGGTTTCTTTGAGTCCTGGGGTAGGTTGGGGATTGGTTTCCAAATCTCAGAGCTCATGGCTCAGCTAGGACCTTCAGAGAGGGTTCCTGAAGATGCATATTGTATATTGAGCCAGTGAGAAGCACTCTGAACAGAGGACTTTTTGCTCATCAGTTAATTTAGGGTGACACTGGAAAGTGTCACTTGCCATTTCCCAGCAGAGTGGGTTCAGGAACCAGACAGAACTCAGTATGAGCACCAGTTTCCCCTTGATTCCTGGAGTCTGACACAGGTAACTTAACCCCTCTGGGCTTCTGTTTCTCATCTGTAAATAATCAAGTTTCCCATCTGTAAATGCTCAAGTAGCTGAGAGTATTAAGTTGATAAATGCAAAGCAATCAGCACAATACTTAACCAATACCAGGCATTGAATTAGCTTTTATTATCTTTTCTCAAGCCCCATTTTTTCTCCATCTATGAAATGGGGTTGGGGGTGGGAATAGCACTGTCCCAGGAGGGTTTAGTCAAGTGCTTAGAAATCCTATTGGCAGTAGGCATCAGTCAGTCATGTTTTGAGGTTGGTTCAAGCTGCCCTGCCTAGTAATATCCCTAGCATCAATCCATACTCGGAGAGCACCTGCAAGGCTTGGGGTACAGACCCTGAAGACAGAAAAGTTGATCAGAGATCCTTAAACCACTTGCCAAAAAGTGGTTTAAGGACCTATCAAGGATCCTTAAACTGCGCACCTGGATAAAACAATACATGAGAATGTAAATCGTAAGGTTCAGGCAGTGAAAAAGAGGGCTGGGTCTGGGCCAGTCTGAAGGACTGACTCGGGGGAGCTGGATGGTCAGGACTTGTACTCACAAGGAGAGGCAGATGCAGAAGGGCAGAAGGCAGCGGTCGCAAGGATTACAGCAAAGACAGCTGCAAAGACCTTCATGGTACCTGCGTGAGATCCTTGTGCTGTCTCAGGCTCTTCTGAGATTCGCTGCAGCTCAGGCTGGTCCTTTAAGTAGGGTGTCAGGCCAGTAGAGGGGGCACTCCCTAAGGGGAGGTTCCCAAATAACCGTGTGTCATATGACTGATATCCTAAGTGAAATAGTACAAAAGAGAAAAGAAAACTGAAATCTCTTCTGGATATTTCCCTTTCCACTGTCTTGCTTCCTCTGCACTCTCCCTCCTGTCCTTGATGGAAAACGCCTTCCTCTGCTGGCATCCTTGGCTTCAGGACTTGGGTCCTCCCCAGAGGTCAGGAAGCTGCTCTCCTAGGGGTAGGAGGAGAGGCAGCCAGACAGGACAGAAACAACTAGGTGTTTATTTGGTTACTTTGAAAATTCTTGCTGATGCAGTACAGATCTGTATCCTCCCTTTCTCATCCATGGAAGGATACTATTTATAAAGTGTTTTATTGAGAAGGGGAAAGTCCTATCACTTATTTCCTGAAGAAGGTGAATGCACCTTCCCTGTGGTTGGGACAGTGGATCTGAACTGGACCTTGGGGAGCTTTTCATCTGATAGGTTTTGGAGTGATTCCTCTTCTCAGGGTGGGGGGATTCTTACTTTCATCATTGCCACAGGGTCACCCACGTTTACTTGTAGAGTCATCACTGGGAAAGTTGCTTAATGTCCTTGAGCTTCTATTTCCTTTTTAAAAAGTGGAATAATTCGTTGCAGGCTTGATGAGAGGCAGTGGGAGAGAGAGAGAAAAGGAGAACTTGTGATTCTCCTATTACTACTATTAGCTCCCATTGCTACAGACTTACTCTGTGCCAGCCAGTATTCTAAGGACTTTGCATGTGTCAACTCATTTGCTATTATTATCCATATTTTCTCATTTTGTAGATGAGGAAGCTCAGAATGGAATGGAATCCCATTTTTAAGGCTGTCTTGGGCACAAAATTTACAGACTTCAAAAGCTGTAAAAGACTTTAGGAATCATTTTTTTGCATGTTCTTCAGTTGCAGAGGAGAAAACCAAAGTCCAGAGAGTGGCAGTGACTTGTTAAGAACACACAGAAATGCATGAGTGGGTTCAGAACCCAGGTGCCTTGGCCCCTACTCCAGTGCTCTGCCCACTAAGTACCTCTCACCCAAAGAGGTTCATGGTTGGGTGTGTCCTTGACACTGAGTCCAGGTGGTGGTCTGGTTTAGAACCATGGCCCTTACTCCAAAGAACAGGACACAGTAAATGCTCAGCAATTCCTATTGATAATTCAGAATTAGTGTCAATTTGGCCTGGGTTGGGCTGAAATTGACTTCACAATTATCTAAAAAAAAAAAAAAGTCTATTAACAGTGACAAAAGCAAACAAACTTTTAAAAAAGTGTAATCTTATACCAAGAATGTTTCCTTGCTAGTGACTGTCACATAAGTTGGTTATGGAGGGTGACTGAATCACCTAGAATGGGTAGAACTACGCTCCTTTTTTCCTTACAATGGCTTTCCGGCAGGGTGGTTTTTATTCTCCAAGCAGAAAAACTGTGACTCAAGAGGGGTCATGAAGGTGCCCAGAGCCACACGTGTGATGAGGGATTTGGACCTATGTGTTTTCACGGACTCACACCAGGAAGGCAGTTACTGTGGCCTTCCTAAGGTACAGGTGCTGTTCTAAGTTTGTCACAAGAATCCTCTCAGTTCCTCCTCATGACTGGATAGCCAATGAATATAATAAAAGCACAGTTTTGGAAAACATGGCTGTCTTATTTAAAGAAACAAATTGTAAGCACTTTAGAAACACTCATCCATCCACACAAAGCTCTCCTGCCTGTTTAATTGTTCCCTGTCACATAGCACCCCTCATTCCTAATCCTGGGGGAGACTGCGTATCTGGGTGGCTTTGGTGTTTCTGCCATTTACTAACCAGGTGGCTTCAGGCAAGTTACTTAATTTCACTGCTCTGTTTTCTCATCTCTAAATCAAGGATAATGATAACGGCCCTTTCCACAGTCACTGTAAATGTCATGCTTGGGAACTCTAAGTACAATTCCTGACACATGTTAAGTACTTGACACTAGCTATTGTCATCATGAAGAGTAAAACCATGGCAGTCCATTAAATATTGTCTATATTTAGGCTTTTCAGCAGTCTGACCAGACCCTGTTAATAGGATTGGTGAACTATTATAAAAAAAGTCTTACTGGTAGAGGCATCAGTCAGTAATGTTTTTGAGGTTCGTTCAAGCTGTCATGCCTACTAATATCCCTAGCATCAATCCACACTCGGAGGCTTAGTGAGCTTAAGTGGCTTGCTTGTTAAGATCACATAGCCTAGGGGGACCTCCCTGCTGGTGCAAGGGGTTAAGATGCAGCACTATGAAGTTATCTGCAGCTACTGCAGCATGAGTTCGATCCCTGGCCAGGTTGCTGACCCACATGGCGCAGTAGACCTCTCCTGACTCGCCCGCTGCTCCCCTCAGCAGTGTATTTCAGTCAGTCTGCCTGTTCTGCCCGCCCCCCCCACTCTGTCTCTGATGAATCCTCTCAACCCCTGCGTCTTTGGCCTGCACCCCAGCTCTTGTATGCGTAAATAATTAAACCTTTAAAAAAATATATCACACAACCTAAAGTGGTAGAGCTCAACAATGAACCCAACATATCTAGATTCATAGACTTTCTACCACACTGTGTTGTTTCGAGGGAAATCCTCACGCTTTTGCCAAGATTCTGTTTTTCATGTGAACTCTATTTCTGTTTCCTTTTCTTGATCTCAGTTTCCTTCTTTAAGGAAGAAAGGAAAGTATTTTCCTGGATGCCAAATATGCTGATTTGGGACACTACCTGAGGACAGAGATGAACCCACAGATGGACCCATGAAATCCTCATTTTCCAATCCTGGTGAACCCCACTGCTGTGTGGAAAATGGGGAGGGATGGCTGGAGGCTGCTGAGCAGTAATAGGTGACAGGCAGGTCGGAGTATCTTTCTTCCCTTTTGGTGGTCTCAGTGGATTGTATGGAGAAGAACCTAGTTATGATTCCATTTCTGTCACACTCTCTTGTGCAAAGTCAGGGTTCAGACTCATGGAATCAGTGCATTCTCTGGCTCCAACATACCGATTCCAGGAGGAAATAACAGTGCCCGTCAAACAGCCCAGTACCTAGAGGGTGGGTGTTCACAAATGGCAACTGTCATTATGTCTCACCCAGCATTTTATGTTCCAGAACACCTGCCGGTGTGTTGCACCCCACAGCTGGTTGAGAGGATCAAGGGAAGAAGGTGAGGTGCAAACTCCACCTTCCCAGTCCTGCCAGCATGCTCCATCTATACTGCTCAACCTTTCTTTAGGCCACAATTGTGTCTGAGAGTTGCTGCGAGCCAGGCAGCAGCCGAGGCATCGTGGATAGCATGGTAAGCCAGTCAGAGACCTGCTGTCTGTAACTTATGCTGCATGTGCAGGGCAGGGAACGGCAGACAGTAATCAAGTCAGGACTTCATCCCGAATCATCTTTTCACTCTCTTGTTAAACTCCCTAAACACAGTAACTCTCTCCTCTGCCTTTTCTATTCATTTGTTCTCTCTTTATACTTTCCAATGTGCATGATAGATGCTATATGAATGCTGGCTTAGTCTTAGTAGCTTCTTTTTTTTTTAGTCTTAATAACTTCTTAAAGAATCTTAAGTCCATGGGCTCCATAGAGTTGGACCCTGGGTTTGAAACCCAGCTCTATTATTTAGTAATGCTGACACGGGCAAGGTGCTTGCTCTCTCTGGGTCTGTGTTTTCATCTGTGAAACAAGAGATTGGTTCCAACCTGCCTTGGGCAATGGAGCCTTTTAAGCATCCAGTGAAACTGCGAACACTTTCCACAGGCATGTGGACACCTACAGAGACACACACATGTAATTTTGCCTATGAAGTCTTCAGAGACCTGGCAGGCTCATTGCTGGGCCTCTTGAGTTCATAGGACTTGTTCTCAGCTGCCCCTTTTGTGAGCAAATTCCTTCATCAAGCCAGACAAACAGTACCCCCAGCCCAGCACTGAATTTCATTGGCACAGACCTTGTTGTTTATTTCCTCTTTCATTCACTCTTTTCCAAACTAACCTGGCTGCCTGCCCAGGCTCACTCTGTGACAGTAGGAAACGAAAGACAGGCAAAGTGAAACCACAGCTGGGTTCCAAAGCTTTACTCGGACCTGGAGTTTCCCCGATGGCTGTGGGGTTGCCTCTCTGTTTTTTCTTTAAAAAGTGTCCAGGGCCTCCCTGGTGGCGCAGGCAGGTGTGCGCTGCACTGTGAAGCTGTCTGCAGCCTCTGCAGCATGGGTTTGATTCCAGCCTGCCAGCAGGCGAGAATCCCACATGGCAAAGCAGACCTCTCCTATCTCCCCCGCTGCTCCCCTCAGCAGTGTACTTAGGTCAATCTACCTGTTCTGTTCCCCACTCTGTCTCTGGTGAATCCTCTCATCCTCCTGCACCTCTGGCCTGTACCCTGGTTCTTGTATAAATAAATAAATCTTTTAAAAAAAAAAAGTATCTAAAGCAGGCAAAGTCCTTCCATCTTCTAGGGACCCCAGTCTGGGACCCAAGAGAACAAGCCTGAGGTGAAGTCATTTCCTCCCCAACGAGTCTAAATTTCCCCCATCTGCAAACAGGGGAGTTGCTCCCTGGTTGTGTCCCTTTTCTCTGTCCTAGTTCACACATGTGAACATCTCCCACCTAAACCAGTGATCCGCTGGCTCGCTCCTCTTATTCTACGGGAATAGGGAGCACCGCAAGCATTCTACTTGTGGTGGGAGCACCACTGTGCTGTGGGAGGACCTGTGGGAGGTGATGTGTGGAGGTGCAAGTGGAGGCCTCCCAACAGGCTCAGGGACTTTCTTGAGTGGAGGCAGGATTCAAACCTTTTTCCAGGACTTTCTGCCACATCCTGCTTTTGTCTTTTGGTCCAGCTCTGGTTTGCTCTTCTCTGTGACACCTCCCCTCCCTTCCTGATCCTCGCACGCATTTCACTGTCAGGGCACTTAACTACGACCACTGTTCTCATAGTTCAACCACATGCAGCCTGACCTCTCTTCTCACCTTCACCACAGGGGTCTGCGACTGTGTGCACCAGCTTATTTTCTGTAACTGGAGACTGTCTGTGGTGTGTTTGTTG